ATGGGAATGGAGGGGATCAAGGCTTGCTTACAGGCCAGGTGGTTTCCATTAGGCAGGGCTCTGTCCCACCCTCCAATTCTTATTCCCATCAACACTAGGGAGGAATGCCACCCCAAAGCTGTCCTTCGATCCAGGACTACTGAGGCCCAGAGAGAGACTGGCCGACTCAAGGACAGCCTTGTTTGCCTTGGTCAGCACCAGTGCCTGGCCCAGTGTATGTGCTCAATAAATACCTGTAGAATGCTGTCAGGGACAGAGGTCCTAGGAGGTGGAGTGTGAGTCTGGGACCATAGTAGGTGTCCTTGGCCACCCCCGGTAGTCTCTATACCTGCAGGGGTCTTGTGGCTGGTTTTGCAGGCAGCCCACATTTTCTGGTGAACTCTGAAACCGTGTAGGGCAAGTTGCTCTGTGGCCAGCAAACCTGTAATTTGGTTTTCTGACCCACAAGCAGGGAGGTCTGTGGGGGCCAGAGGAAACCAGTTCTGTGTCACCCCACCATGCCTGAATGTGGACACACACATACACACACACACATACACAAACACGCCCCAACTCATATTCTTCACAGCTCTAATATGACATAATTTATATACTATGAAATGCGCTCATTTAGTTAGATGTGCACAATCTAATGGGCTTTGATATATTTCACAAAATTGCTCAATCATCACTACATAGTTTTAGAATATTTTCATCATCCACAAAAAAAAGCCTTGAATCATTAGCTGTCACTCCCCATTCCTCGACCAGCCCTAAGCAACCACTAATCTGCTTTCTGACTTAGATTTGCCTATTATGGATACTTCATATAAATAGAATCATATAATATGTAACCTTTTATAACTAGATTCTTTATCCAATATAACATTTTCCAGGTCCATCCATTTTTAACATATATCAGCACTCTTCTTTGTGGGCAGACAGTACTGTCTGAATTCACTCATGAATTGATGGATATTTGGAAACTTTCTTCTTTTAAATTTTTTATTTTATGTGTGAGTGTTTTGCCTGCATGTATGTACATGCACCTGGGCTTGTACACCTACAGAGGCCAGCAGGGGCTTGGCTCCCCCAGAATAGATCGCTGTTAGCCACCAGGTGGGTTCCAGGTTCTTCTCCAGCCCCTGGAAATTTTTCCTTTTTGAGGATATGATTGATTCTACTAAGCACTTTCGCCTAATTTTTTTTTTTTTTTGGTTTGATTATTTTTGTTTTCTGAGACAGGATCTGCCTGCATAGCGCTAGGCCTCAAACCAATCCTCCAGCCTCAGCTTCTCAGGCGCGGGGTCAGAGGTATGCACCACCACCACACCGCCTCAATCGTTAGATTGTACTTCATGTCATCAGCCCAACGTGAGGTCTTAGATTTCAAGTTAGGCTTGCTTTAATGGTGTACATATTTGGGAGCTGGCAAGTTCTTCCTGAGAGCTGACTGTTGAAGGACTTTGTAAGAGAAGGCAGCATTAGGTGGTGGACAGGAAAACGGGGACAGGAACGGAGCAGGTGCTCAGTGCTCAAACCCAGAGACCTGTGGATCTGGAGAAGCGCTCTGCCAAATCAGCTACATCCCTAGCCCATAGTCTTGGATCACTTTATACCTGTAATTCTGAAAACTGTCCAAAGTGTGTCACTTTATTCCAACTATGAAGTCATATGTCCACATCTTCGTGCATGCCAGTATAGTCATTTAGAGCTGCTCTGTGGACACGGCTGCCCTGGGCTCTCCTCCACTTCTGCTTCTGCAGGTGGGCCCCTTCCTCCATGTTGACACCAATAAGGGAGATGGGTTTACCTGGAGTCAAGGGACCTAGAGTACGATCCAGGGTGGGCAAAAGGCAGTGGGGATAAAGATGTGCCACCATATAGTACCTCTTTCCCGGGTTCTATACATAGCAGGGTTCTTCGGAAATAGAGCAGTGGATTCCATTTCGTAGCAACATCTTTGTCCTTGGACAGACTGCTTTGTCTTCGTGACCTCATCTAATTAACAAGCGGATCAGTTTAGATAATCTGGAGTGTTGTTTCTTTTTTCTTTTTGAGACAGGGTCTCACTATATAGCCCTGGCTAGCCTGGAACTTGCTATGTAGACTGACAGAGGTCAGCCTGTCTTTGCCTCCTGAGTGCTGGGATTAAAGGTGTGTGCATATGGCTTCTTTTTTTCTTGTTTTGTCATGCCGGAGATAGAACCCAGAGTGTTGCACATACTAGGCAAGCGCTTTACCACTAAGCACCAACCCTAGCCCTTTGGAGCCCACAGCCCCCAAGACTACGTGCCTGAGGTTAGGTGCAGTGCATTCTTCCCAGGCAGGAATGTCTTCGTGTCTTCCTCAGTTTTTCCCAGGAATATGCTAAACAGGAAGGATTCTAAACAGCCAAGTGGCAAGCAGCTAGTCCAAAACACCCAGGTCCTGGGGTGCCATTTCCTCCTGTCGTCGTGGGAGTGCAGCCCCAAGCTGCTTTCCTCACTCAGGGACGGACCAGCAGGCATGGGATCCTTGGGCTTCTGCCTAGGGAGCAGCTGCCCCTGGCTCATGGTCCCGTGGCTGACCCACTAAGCCCAAAGGACCGTCTTGGTCACCGCTGAACCATGCTGTGGGCAGGTGTGAGGCAAGGGGAAGACTGCCCAGCTCTGTGGAAGCTGCCCTGTAGAGAGGCCCTGCATGGCTCAGGCTGCAAGAAAAAGGGCAGGGAGAGGGGCTGGGGCCTCTGGGCAGCCTTGCTCCCATCTGCAGAGCATCAGTGGGGCAGGCGGGTGGGGTTCATAAGGGGGCTGGGGAGGAAATGAGAATAAACACCAGTGAGCAGAGAGGGAAGGGTGGGGGTCTGCTGTCTCAGCCCCTTGGCAGCCCATGAAGGGAAGTGACACAATGAGGAATGTGTTTCCCTCTGCCCGCCCCTGCATGGGGGTGGAAGGCAGATCCCTGAGAATGGCCAGACCCCAGCAGAGGCCAGGGGGCACATGCTGGATCAACACAGGAGGGCGGGCTGGGAGGGTGGAGCCTGGTAGTCAAAGCCTGACGCACTAGAAAGACAGCCGTGGGCAAGGGGACTTGCTCTCTTCCTCTGTCCTCTCCGCTCGGCATGCAGGGCAGTCGGGGGCCAGCTAAGCCCTTGCATGTTCTCTGCACGTGCCCAACACTGGGGCACCTTCGGAAGTTGGGCCCTGCTTTCCCTTCGTCTTTAAGGGAACTTACTGCCGTCAGAGTCCTTCCTGTGAGAGGGAAACTGAGGTACAGCTTGGTCATGGGAATGGCTGAGAAGAAATTTCATCTGTCTCTGTCCCTTGCTCAGTGTTTCTGTCCCTAAAGGACTGCACAAACAGTCCCCCTGGTGGGACAGGACAGCACCTCCCCATCCTGGACACCCATTTCCTCTTGCCCAGCAGGGAGCTTCTCAGTTAACCCTTTCCTGTCCATTATCCATAGCTGTCCCCGAGGCTTCAGTGTGCAGACCTAAGGCATCCTGCCTCTGCCTGAAACAGGCTGGGATGGCAGGGCCTTGGAAACAGTCTCAGATCTGGTTTATGTTAGTTTAGGAAAGATTGGATTGGGTGACACTTGGGTAGGTAGGTCATGACTTCTAGCCCTCCCTAGCCATGCCCAGCACGGAGGACAGGACACAGAAGATGGGTGGACCAGCATCCTCTTCGGTTCTCAGTGGTCTTTCCCGGGGTGCAGAGAGGCCTGTGTGTCAAATGCTGGGCTGGGTCCATTCGTGAGGCCTAGCAGGCCTCAGTGGTGTTTGAGCCACTGAACTGGGGGTCAGAGGCTGCTATAAGTCACCTGATTTGCTTCTTCATGTGGAGTAGAGATGACCTCTGGGAGCCATCTCTATCCTGTCTTAGCCTGGAGGAAGTTCTTTGCCATGTTTTGTCAGCAATGGGCAGATCAGTGATCCTCTTGGGAAGGCAGGGGCTGAGGGCTTCGCACACGTGTTAGCCCTGGGCCTCATCTGGATCCACAATTTGTAGTCCTGGCCTGTAGCTATAGATGGGGCATAGAGCACTGCATACCCACCAGCTACCCTGCTTGTTTCCTTCCAGGTGAGGGGGAGAGGAGAGGGGGAGGGGAGGATGAGAGGGGGCGAGGGACGAGGGGAGAGAGAGAGAGTCTTAGCCAACTATGAGTGACCATGGCCTAAGAACAGATTGAGGCTGCTCTGATTACATGTTCCACTGTGGAATAGATAACATGAACTTTTATAGTCCCAGAACAAAGAGTCATAAATCAATGCATTTACCAAATTAGTGGGAACATTAGGTAGATTCCAGCAAACTGGAGAGATCTATGCGATGCATCTTATATGCCATCTGTTATCATTCTTAGCTACGGGGTTGGTGGAAGCTAGTAATCTGCTAAGTTAATACATTACAGAGGTCTTACCTGATAGTCAAAAGGATGTTAGAGGGCTACAGAGATGGCTCAGGGGTTTAAAGCACTGGTTGCTCTTGCAGAGGACCCAGGTTTGGTTCCAAGCACACACATGGTGGCTAACAACTGTTTGTAACTCCACTTCCAGACACTCCAACACTCTTTTCTGGCCTCCTTGGGCATTGCACACATGGGTGCACTTATATACATTCAAGAAAAACACTCATACACATAAAAATAAAACTTTTTAAAGAATGTTATGTCAGATACAGGAATAGGTGACAAATAGCTATTAAGGGAACTAAAAATAGCCCAAGATCACTGTGACTCTCCATCTGTAACATTCCAACTCTCCACAGTTGTAAGGTGAATCATGAATTAGTCTATAAGATCTTCAACACAGATGTGGTTTTTTTTTTCAGGGAACTTCAGTTCACAAGCATTTCTATGACCAGTACCCCTTGATGGTGGCCGGGGAGGCTGAAGAGACCTGTTGGGTGGGTGTGGAGGAAAAGACCCCCCCTAGAAAGTTTTATAGAAAGCTGGCACCCGTGGTGACTGGATGCCCCACCCAAGGAGCAGGGTGGCCCCCAGACAGAGATGTGAAGGCTCCCCACTGCTTCCCACAGGGACCTGAGGAACAATGTCATAAGCACTGTACAGCCTGGAGCCTTCCTGGGTCTGGGGGAGCTGAAGCGCTTGTGAGTGGCATGTTCGATCCCCCAAGATTCCCATCCCCCTTCATCCCTGGAGAAAGATCCCATGAGCAACTACCCCAGTACCAACCCCACACTGTCCCTTCTCAGACACCAAGCCTCTAAATAGCACATTGGCTGGGGCCAATGTGGAGGCATTTCCGGGGTGCTGTGGCACTGGGCCAAGCCTACTCCCCACAGAAGTTCCCGCCGGATATGTGTCTTTCAGAAGTGAATCTGTGTCCTATTGGATAGAGGACTTGCTGAGTGTGTGTCTCTCTCTCTCTAGAGATCTCTCCAACAACCGGATTGGCTGTCTCACCTCTGAGACATTCCAAGGCCTCCCCAGACTCCTCAGACTGTAAGTGAAACACAGAGAAGTGGGGAGTAGAAGGGGGTGCTTAGAGGGAAGAAGACCATGCCAGAGCCTTTCTGTCCCTGCACTCTGTCCTCCCATCCCCCAGCTCTCCTTGAACAGAGACCCTAAGATCCCACTTTACTCTTCCCTGTCTTCTGCAGAAACATATCTGGAAACATCTTCTCCAGTCTGCAACCTGGAGTCTTTGATGAGCTGCCAGCCCTTAAGGTTGTGTGAGTATCTTTCCCATATAGGAACAGCATGCCTCCCCATCTTCTCTTCTGCCCCACAAGAAGGAGACATCTAAGCATCCCAGACCTGGGGGATCTGAAGCCCAAATCTCCCAGCCCTCCCCTTAGCCCCCCAAAAACTCCAGATCCCATGAGCAACGGCCCCCCCTACAGCCCCCGCCCTGTACAGCCCCCACCCCATACCTTCTTAACTCCCCAGCCTCTACTCACCACATTGGCTGGGGTCAAATGTGCAGGCATTTCTAGCCCTGCTGGGGCCCAAACCCACCATGGGCAGTGTGCTGAGTACACAGAAGGACTGCCAGAGTGCCTCAAATTCACCATGTCCTGGGCAGAGGGGTACACAGGTACCCAAGGTTGTTTTCCAACCCTTCCCAGCTTAGTCTCATCCCCAACCAATGAGCCACACTGTCTCCTGTACCTGCCCTGCAGGGACTTTGGCACTGAGTTCCTGACCTGTGACTGCCACTTGCGCTGGCTGCTTCCCTGGGCCCGAAATCACTCTCTGCAGCTGTCTGAGCACACACTCTGTGCCTACCCCAGCACCCTGCATGCCCAGGCCCTAGGCAGCCTCCAAGAGGCCCAGCTCCGATGCGGTGAGAAAACTCTTGACCTGTATAGCTGCCAGAGACCTACCCACATCCAGGCCCCAGATAAAGAGCCCTGTCCCTCATCCCACAGCTTGCTGTCTTGAAGCCCTGTGTATGGTTGTGATTGTATAATGGATGTGTTCTCCAGGCCTCCCTCTTTCCTCCAGCCCCGTGGGGTGGTCCTCCTAAATCTCTTTGGGGGCTGCTTGTTTATATTTTCATTGCTCTTACCTCCTGGGTAGCACCTTCATCAACTCTCCTGTTTTGCTCTTATCTGGGATCCCTCCTGACCCCTTTCATTCCTGGCTAGAGCGTGCTAGAGGCCGAGGGTCTGGGCCTACCTGCTGGCACCCACTCTGACAACAAAGTGCCATATGAGTATTGTGCGCTAACCAACTGCACAACTACAGCCCAGGCAGATCCCACTCTGAGACATAGGTTCACATGTACATGCACTTAGGTCTCACCACTGCGGTCTCATCCACAGAAGGGGCGCTGGAACTGCATACGCACCACCTTATCCCATCCCTTCGCCAAGTAGTGTTCCAGGGTGACCGGCTGCCCTTCCAGTGCTCTGCCAGTTACTTGGGCAATGATACTTACATCCACTGGTACCACAACGGAGCCCCTGTGCTGGGTGATGAGCAGGCAGGCATCATCCTGGCAGAGAACCTCATTCATGACTGCACCTTCATCACTAGGTACAGGCCCTGCTGTCCCTTCATAGCCTAGGGCATGGGGAGAGCTAGCCACAGTTCCCCCTCCCATCCACATATGATCTGGGAGTCTGTGTGTTTATGGAGCGCTAAGCTAAAGTGCAGTGATAAATGATATGAATTGAGGTTAGAAGTAAAGTTCCCATCCTAAAAGAAGTTAAATGCCTAATAGGAAAAAGTTTGTGTGCTTTTAAATGTCTGCATGGAGGGGAGGGTGGTGGTTGGGCCTGGGAGTGCTCACCCAGCCAGACACGGCCTCCCCGCTCCCTCACAGTGAGCTGACCCTGTCTCACATTGGCGTGTGGGCGTCAGGCGAGTGGGAATGCTCTGTATCCACGGACCAGGGCAACACAAGCAAGAAGGTGGAGATAGTGGTGCTGGAGACCTCTGCCTCCTACTGCCCTGCTGAGCGCGTGGCAAACAACCGTGGGGACTTCAGGTTGGGTGCTCTGCTGTGTATGTGGCTGCCTCTGCCCTTGACCCTCTGAGACCTGAGTGGCCAGGGACTCTCATTTTATTTCTTCCTGCAGTCCCAGACTCCCTCTTATTATTTGGCCCAAAGTCTTGCTGTTGAAACTCAGATCTTAAACGGTCTTAGACAATGACCATCTTTTAATTACTTCCACTAATAGTTTGCAAAGGCCTCCCACATAGTGTATTTTAATATTCTAGAGACCCTCTCTGTATGAAGGGCAGGTGTTCTCCCCAGTGTATATCTGAGAAAAGTGAAGCCCAGAAAAGATCAGCAGCCTGCCCGATAAGTGTGAGAACTTCAACACAGAGCCCTGAGTTGCACCCCCCTATATTGCCTGCAATAATATTGTCAGAACAAACTGGGAGTTGGAAAGCAGAACTTGGGAACCCCTCAAAGCTGCTAGGACACCCTCTCCTAAACCCTTCACAAAGCCCCAGGAATCTGGTGTCACTGTCCTGGGCTGGGGCAGGGAGGAGGGAATTCGTCTCAAGGAGCCTGGGTGTGGCATCTTCCTACCTCTGCCTCTAGGTGGCCTCGAACCCTGGCTGGCATCACAGCCTACCAGTCCTGCCTACAGTATCCCTTCACCTCGGTGCCTCTAAATGGGGGCGCCCCAGGTACCCGAGCCTCACGCCGGTGTGACCGAGCTGGCCGCTGGGAAGCAGGGGACTACTCCCACTGTCTGTACACCAATGACATCACCCGGGTGCTCTACACCTTTGTGCTGGTGAGGCTGGGATAGGCTGGGAGCAACTGCCTACCCCCACCGCCCCAGCTTTGGTTGCTGGAATGGGCTGGGATGGAGCCCGATGCCACTTGGGGAGGCTTCTGTGCTGTACCTCCTCTCCCAGGTGTACAGTAAGGGTGGGTACAGGGGCCTTGGGGCTGGCACCTTCTCCTCCAGCTTCCCTCTGCCAGGACATCTGCACCCCATTGCTTGCTGCTCTCCTGCCTGATGGCCCTGAACACCTGCAGAGGTGGCTCCAGGGGCCAGTTCTGGGATAGGAGGAAGCCAGGTCAGTCCTCTTCTTTCAATGCCCCCAGATGCCCATCAATGCCTCCAACGCGCTGACCCTGGCCCACCAGCTCCGGGTATACACTGCTGAGGCTGCCAGTTTTTCAGACATGATGGACGTAGTCTATGTGGCTCAGATGATCCAGAAATTTTTGGGTTATGTTGACCAGATCAAAGAGGTGAGCTTCAACTTGTCCTCTGAGACCCCTGGAGACCACCCTCTTGTCATCTCAGCCCTCACACAATGCCTGGATCCCAAATACCACCCCTGCCCTCAGTGACTGCCCTGGACCTCCCCCCCGACAGCTGGTGGAGGTGATGGTGGACATGGCCAGCAATCTGATGCTGGTGGATGAGCACCTTTTGTGGCTGGCCCAGCGCGAGGACAAGGCCTGCAGTGGCATCGTGGGAGCCCTGGAGCGCATAGGCGGAGCTGCCCTCAGCCCCCATGCCCAGCACATCTCTGTGGTACCATAGGTTGGGGTGGGAGGGACTCCTCAGGGCCTGAGCACTGGGTGGTGGGAACACCTGAGAGCATACTGGGGCAGTCTTCAGGATCCTTAGAAGGGAAGTGCACCCCTCTCCCTGGTGCGGTGCATCTGTGGAGCTCTGGCTGGCAAGCACGGTGGTGGGCACAGAGAAGGGAGCTCAGTTGTGAGCGGTAGGGTAGGGCAAAGGAGAGGCACAGTGAGGCCAAGCTGCACATGCCCTCCAGGTGGGGAACTGGTTAGGGGTGAGCCTAATGGAAGGAAATAGGAGCTTACTGGGAAGGATTGGGGGGAGGAGGGAAACTCGGTCTCAGAGCATACAGCACTTTCAGTGCAGTGTGGAGTGCTGCAAGTTTACTGTGGCAAAGGTGACATTTCCAAGCTGGTGGAGTGAATGATCGTGGTACAGCTTCTGTGTGCCAGCCATTGTGCTAGGTGTTTGGGGAGATACAGGAGAAATTACACATGGATCCTGCTTGACACTGGGGTGGAGTAAGAACTGGCACGCAGGGCTGGAGAGATGGCTCAGCAGTTAAGAGCACTGACTGCGCTGGCAGAGGACCTGGGTTTGATTCCCAGCACCCATGGCTTAACTCTAGTTCCAGGGGAACCCAACACCCTCTTCTGACCTCTGCGGCATTGCAGGACATGGGTGCACTCACATACATGCAGGCAATACACTCATACACATGAAAAGAAAAAATAAAATATTTTAAAAAAGAATTGGCACGCTAAGAAAACGAGCTGGGTAGGGTTAGGGAGTGCATGGGAGCACTGACAACTCAGAGGAAGGAGAAGGCCCGTGGCCAGGGGTAGTGTGGGCAACTCCACAGCACATGTCAAGACTTGACATGCTGGAAGACAGTGAGGAGTAAAAGGTAGGGACAGCCAATGCCGATCTGTAGCGAAGGAATGTGCAGTCTTGGGTAGAAGATCACTATATCAAAACACTGGGGTGACAGGTTCCCTGTCTGTAGAATTCAAGGAATGTGGCATTGGAGGCCTACCTCATCAAGCCGCACAGCTACGTGGGCCTGACCTGCACGGCCTTCCAGAGGAGGGAGGTAGGAGTGCCAGGTGCACAGCCAGGTGGCCCTGGCCAGAAGGTCCCACTGGAGACTGAACCCCCAGCTGACCAGCAGCTCCGTTTCCGCTGTACCACTGGGAGACCCAACATTTCTCTGTCATCCTTTCACATCAAGGTGGGCACTGGGGGAAAGGGTTTGGGGACAGGGTCCAGAGTTTATAGAGGGTGGTGCTGAGATGCAGGTGTCTGGTGGGTGTGAGAGGTGTCACAATTCAGAGCCGGGACAAGGGGGAAGTCAGGAAGGGCTGGGAGACATCAAAGCCCAGGGATGCTGAGTGCCTCTGGGGACCTCCTCTGTCCCCTCAGAACAGCGTGGCCCTGGCCTCCATCCAGCTGCCCCCCAGCCTGTTCTCAACCCTTCCGGCTGCCCTGGCTCCCCCAGTCCCTCCAGATTGCACCCTGCAACTGCTGGTCTTCAGAAATGGCCGCCTTTTCCGCAGCCATGGCAACACCTCCCGCCCTGGAGCAGCTGGGCCCGGCAAGAGGCGTGGTGTGGCCACTCCTGTCATCTTTGCAGGAACCAGTAAGGGACTAACTCTCTGCGCATGTCTGTCTCATCCCATCATCTTGCCCCTTCCACACCTGTGGCCCCCTGCTGCCCTGGCGCAGCTGGCAGAAGGCAGTGGATCCCTTGCTATTTCTCAAGGAGGGTGGGAGTGGAAGGGCCTGTAATGGAAGGTGTTGGAGGGAAGGCTAAGGGGGCCATGATTTTCTATCCCGGGCATATCACATACAGAAGGGCTATAAGCACAAACCCTCAACTCCTGCCCACTCCCAAACTCAGACTTCTTGCACTGTCACACATGAACCTTATGCAGGCAAGCAAAATTGCATTGTACCCTGGAAGCTCAGTACTGCCCTCACTGTTATAAGGAGGAAATCATGAAGGCCTCGACTTGCCCCACATGGCTGCTGCCTCCCTGAGTAGTGGAAAACCCCAAAGCCACCCTAGCCAGAGCTTCAGCATCTGCTGGACAGGCAGTCCTGTTGGCAAGTGTCCTAACGGGCAAGTGAGCTGTGGCACTGTGGTTAGAGTTGGACCCTGAGGCGTGGTCAGGACTTTCAGACACACCAGCGAAGGTAGAGACTAGGGCAGAAGGATTAACTGGTGAGGAACGCACACTGCCTTGCTTGAAGCCTGGCTCCTAGGAACTGCCTGGTGGACCACCCACAGCTGTCTTTTAGCTTCCTTGACCCACCAGGAGCGGCTCTTTCTCCACACTGCCCACGTGTGCTTTCCTGTCTGATTCCACCTCTCCTCCCTCCCGTCAAGCTCTGCACTTGTTCACCAGGCAGTTTCCATCAGTGGGTCACATGCTGTTACCAGATTTCCCTTCTGAGAATGCCGCTGTGTTCAGAGCCCCTTCAAGCCTCTGGTTCTTTATGACATCTACCTTCCACATGTCATCCAGGGGCCTGTGTGTCTTGGCTCTGTTCCCTTCTCACAACCAGGTGCTGCTGGCACTAACTTGGGATCCCTTCCTGTTCCTAGGCACTTTTCAGTCTAGGTAGGTATGGGCAGGAACCAGTCTATGCTGGGCTGAGACATACTAGACCACAGATAGTTGTGCCCTTGTCTTTGAAGAGCACACACTTCCCCAGACAGGCACTGAACACATCATTTGAAGTGAGCGGCAATATAAGGTTGCTAAGAACGTGTCGTTATGTTCAGCTGAACCTAGTTAGGGGCCAGGGAGGTTTTCCCTGGAAACCGAAATTTCTCAGAGACCTGATTAAGTCACTTGAGGAAGGGTCAAACCCAGTGTTAGCAGCCACATGGGTTAACAGATGTGTGTGTGGAGAGGTGTGTTGCAGGGCAGAGCCCAGGGGGAGGCATATTCTCTCTCACGACTGCACAGCTCCTCTCAGGTGTCCCTGCCCGTCCCTTTCCTGGTGCCAGCTGTTCCTCCCGGGGATTATTCTTGACCTGGCCTTTCCCTCCCTCCACGTTCGCACTGCAACCTGTCTCTTCCTGGAGCATGCTCACTTCTCGTTGGGCACTTAGGGTGGGCTGCCCTCCCACCTTCACACCTGTCTCCTCCGCACTCCCTTATTCAGTCTCCCTAGTTGACCCAAAACCACGTGTCCAGCTCCACCCCCAGGCCAGTGGTTGTCGCAGCGGCTCTGGCCCCCAGCAGCCTCCCATGTCCATGTGGACTTCCCTGTCCCCATAGGTGGCTGTGGTGTGGGAAACCTGACAGAGCCGGTGGCTGTTTCACTGCGGCACTGGGCTGAGGGGGCCGACCCCATGGCAGCTTGGTGGAACCAGGAGGGACCTGGGGGCTGGAGCTCCCAAGGCTGCCAGCTCCGCTTCAGCCAGCCGAACGCCAGTTCCCTGCACTGCCAGCACTTGGGCAACGTGGCTGTCCTCATGGTACGTGCTGGGAACAGAGGCGGAAAGGCAAGGGGAATGTGTGGGAGGTGGGGGCTGCGGTCCTTTGATCACTTGGAGCTGCTGCAGGATAAACAGAAAGGGTAACAGCCTTACTGAGCCCCACTGTTTTCAGGAACTCATGGGAACTCTGCCCCTTCCACACCTCTCCTTTCAAGAGGGATCTGGAACCATCCGGTCTAGTCCTTAGGTCCTGTTTTCTGTTTTTAATTTTTTAAAAAGTTTTGAGCCAGGTGTGGTGGCACATGCCTTTAATCCCAGCACTCAGGAGGCAGAGGCAGGCAGATCTCTGTGAGATCCAGGCTAGCCTCGTGTGCTTGGCAAGTTCCAGGCCAGCTGTGGCTATAGGGAGACCCTGTCTTTTGAGACAGGATCTCAGGTAGCTCAGACTAACCTTGACCTCACTGTGGATGACCAAAGCCGTCCCAGTCCCAAGTGCTGAGATAACAGATACGCACCACTATGCCTACGTTGAGACCCAAACTCTCTGGCTGAAGAATTTCTCCCGTTGGCATTCCTCACCCAGCTTTTGCTCATACTGAGCAAGTATGCGGCCGTGTCACAGACAGCCTTCTCCATCCGAGTTTTCACCTGGGCATCTGAAAGCGAGTCCCCAGAAAGGCAGGGCACCAGAAGGGTGAGGCAGGCAGGAGGCTGTTCCTGAGTGGCCACCTGATGCTTGCCTCCATGCCTGCCTGGAGGACTGAGCAACTCAGGTGCAGATCCCAGGCTGGTGACAGGATGAAGTAAACTGGCCTGAGGACTGGCAAGATGTGCTCAGTTCCTTTTTCCTCTGCCCCAGGAGCTGAGTGCTTTCCCCAGGGAGGCAGGAGGCCCCGGGGCTGGGCTGCACCCTGTTGTGTACCCCTGCACAGCACTGCTGCTACTCTGCCTCTTCTCCACCATCATCACCTACATCCTCAACCACAGGTGGGAAATGCTTCAGGACCGGGGGGGGGGGGTGGATCTCACCATGGGCTGGCATGTGTTTCTTCCTCAGGCAGGCTCGCACGAGCTGGCCAGGCTCTGGGGTTGGAGGACACGTTTTGGGAGCCAAGGACTTCTTCCCTGTGGCCCGGGTCACATTTACGCACATGCACACAGATAATCTGTTTCCCTGTTGCTGGCTTTCTAGTGGTCTTGAGACCCTGTGAACTAGAGCCGGTAATAAAAGACTGTTTTGGGGGCAGCTCCATCCATGTGTCCCGGAAGGGCTGGCACATGCTGCTGAACCTGTGTTTCCACATGGCCATGACCTCTGCTGTCTTTGTGGGCGGCATCACTCTCACCAACTACCAAATGGTTTGCCAGGCGGTAAGGAAGGGATGGGGGATTTCAAAATGCATGATGGCAGAGGAGATGGGAGCACAGCAGGAAGAAAAAAAAAAAACAAAAACCCAAACCAGCTCCTGAGAATAGAGGTCGTGTACCACCAGACAGCCATGCCTGGGTCCCAGAGGGAACAGGAGAGCGAGAGCCCTGGATGGCAGCAGCAAGGACGTGTGTGTGTGTGTGTGTGTGTGTGTGTGTGTGTGGAGAGAAACGGGAAGAGTGGGAACACACCTGCCACTGAGGTTTCAGGGTGTGGTGCAGTCAGCAGTTCAGCCCCAAGCCTCAGTGCCTGACCTCCCAGGTGGGCATCACTCTGCACTACTCTTCACTGTCCACACTGCTCTGGATGGGGGTAAAGGCCCGAGTCCTTCACAAGGAGCTCACGTGGAGGGCGCCCCCTTCAGAAGAAGGAGATGCAGTCCCACCTGGGCCACGGCCCATGCTCCGGTGAGTGCTTTCAACCACCAGTTTGCCACGGGTGGGGGAGGGTTGGGATGGGGGGTTGTGCTCAAGACAAGTGTAGCAATGCTGGAAAGGATGGGGGTGGCTGCAAGGTCCCTGGGGATCATTCTCTAGAGCCAAGCTTCTCAGGCCTGACAAGGGTAGGGAAGGAGGGGACACCAAAGGGCACTGGGCAGGGACCCTGAAAAACAGGCTGACAGCCCTGACTCCTGCACCACTTAGGGCTGGAGGCAGCAATTTTGGCTCCTGTCTGGGAGAGCAGTCTTGGCCAAGTTCTGAAGGGCATATCCCTTCCCTTGGGGGCCTTGCATCCCTGGGGCTGAGGGGATCCACAGATTTAAAGGGACAGAGGAAAGAGGAAGAGAGAGATTCACCAATTTGAGGGTTCTGAACACTTGGTTCTTACTTCCCATGCCCCATCTCTCTGACCTCCAAACTCTGCTCCCCCCAGGTTCTATTTGATTGCTGGAGGGATTCCTCTCATCATCTGTGGCATCACTGCTGCGGTCAACATCCACAACTACCGGGACCACAGCCCCTAGTGAGTACCAACCCCTTCCGCCTCATCGCCACCACCTGTCTGCCCCTACCTTCATACTGAGCCCCGCCTGCAGTCCACCCCGGCAGCCCGCGTGCTGACCTTCCAGGCCTAGCTCTTTACTCCCTACATCCTACCTCACCAGCCAACATGTGGGCCCCACCCGAGCTTACCCTCCTCACCCGCTGTCTGTCTCCCCCCAGCTGCTGGCTGGTGTGGCGTCCAAGCCTCGGCGCCTTCTACATTCCCGTGGCTCTGATTCTGCCGGTCACCTGGATCTACTTCTTGTGTGCAGGCCTGCACCTACGGGGCCACCGGAGCCCAAAGCACGGCCACAGCAGGCTGTCCCTGGAGCCCGGGGAAGAGCTGAGGGCGCCCACCAGGCTGCGGAGCGACTCGGGCTCCCTTCTGGCTGCAGCCGCGGGGCCAGGCGCGGCCGCGGCCCTCGAGGACGGCGACGGCCTCTACTCCCCCGGGGTCCAGCTCGGGGCGCTGATGACCACGCACTTCCTGTACCTGGCAATGTGGGCCTGCGGCGCCCTGGCTGTGTCCCAGCGCTGGCTGCCCCGGGTGGTCTGCGGCTGCCTGTACGGGGCGGCGGCCTCGGCGCTCGGCCTCTTCGTCTTCGCGCACCACTGCGCCAGGCGCGGGGACGTGCGGGCGTCCTGGCGCACCTGCTGTGCGCCCGCCTCGCCCTCGGCCCCCCGCGCGCCCGCCCGGGCCCTGCCGGCCGAGGACAGCCCAGGGGTGGGCGACGGCCCGGCATCACTCAAGTCCTCCCCGAGCGGCAGCAGCGGCCGCGCGCCCTCGGCGCCCTGCAAACTCACCAACCTGCAGCTGGCCCAGAGCCAGGCGTGCGAGGCGGGGGTGACGGCCCGCGGCGATGGGGAGCCCGAGCCCTCGGGCTCCCGGGGAGGCCCCGCCCCGCGGCACCCCAATAACCTGCACCACGGGCGCCGAGCGCACCGAAGCCGGGCCAAGGGGCACCGCGCCGGGGAGGTGGTTGGCAAGAGCCGGCTCCAGGCGCTGCGCGCGGCCCCCGGGGCGCCCGAGCCGCCGTCCAGCGAGAGCGGCAGCCTGCACCACAGCCCCGACAGCTACCGGGGCAGCAGCCGCAACAGCCCCGGCCCGCCCGAGGCCGAGCCCATGCTCACGCCGTCCGAGGGCAGCGACACGAGCGCCGCGCCCTTCCCCGAGCCCGCGCGGCCAGGGCAGCGCCGCAGCGCCAGCCGCGACAACCTCAAGGGCGGCGGCGCGCTGGACAGGGAGAGCAAGCGGCGCTCGTACCCGCTCAACACGGCCAGCCTGAACGGGGCCCCCAAGGGGGGCAAGTACGACGACGCCACCGTCGCCAGCGCCGAGGGGGCCGGCGGCTGCATGAAGACCGGGCTCTGGAAGAGCGAGACCACGGTCTAGGGCGGGCGCGGGCCGGGTCGGGGTTAGGACGGGCGGCCGCTCCGGCTTGCCATTCCCGGCTCCTCGCCATCCGAGCGTCCACGTGCGCCAGCTAGATTTCCGTGGCCCTGGGCGGGGAAAGGGGGCGGCAGGTGCTGGCCAGTTGTCTGCAGTAGTGACAATCCCAGCTCGGAGGTCAGGTTTTTGATGCCCTTCCAGGTGGGGACAAATCTTCCTCAGCCTGGGGGGTTACCCATGACGGGAGTGGAAGAGCCCAGCCCAGGAGGGTTCAGAAAGTGAGAAGCGGCGTACCAATTCTTTCACGGTCTTCTACAAGGCACGTGGGTCACTGCCAAGATCCTGGCCCCAGCTTTGGGTCAGGAAGCCATTCTAGTGAGCCAGGTGCCAGGCCCTGGGGAGCCAAAGGGGCTGCTTTTTGGATTAACTATGCAAGGGGATGGGACTTGGGCAGTGTGAAAGGCAGCTATAGAGATCAGCTTGTCCTGTGGGATGCAGGTAGGTGTCCCAGACTAAAATCCGAGCCCTTATACCTGAGATGGTGATGCTGCCAGGTGCCAGAAGGCTTAATGGGAGGGAGCTGCTACTTGGATCTGGGCACAGTAGTCTGAAGAGGGAATCCACCCCAAAGCTTCTGGTGATGCTTAGAAAAGCACTTAACTGCAATTATAAGGCCCATTGCCTGGTCTCAGTGTCTAACTCCAAGGGACTGAGGACGCCTGCCTCTGTGAGGCTTTGTGGCAGAGCCATGCCAAGAATGGATCTCTAACTCCACAGTTAGGGGAACCTATAAAATGTCAAACCAGCTTCCAACTCACAGAAGCCCAGCCAAGCCCTGGAGAGCCTTCAAGGGCCTGTGCTTTCACTACTTTGAAACCCAACCACCATTGTCTCCCACCCTAAAATGCCTCACTACAGGACTACATGGAAACGGGGACCCTTGGGCCTTGTGAAGAGCATTGGGAGTCTAGGTCTGGCTTGGGCTCCCTCCAGGCTTCATGTCACCTGGGTCTAGCCAGCTGAGGACAAACCCACTCCTTAAGAGGGGTCCTGTTATTTATGCTTGCTGCACAGGCAATACTAGGAGAGAAAGCTTTTGTATTATTCTTCCACATACTGGCTGCTGTTTACGTACCCTGCCAATGCCTTAGCACTGGAGAGCTTTTTGCAATATGCTGGGGAAAGGGAAGGGAGGGAATGAAGTGCCAAAGAAAACGTTTTTAAAAGCTTGTTTTATACAATAGAATGTTTTCTGATGCCTTTTGTTTTAATATATTAAAACTCTTTCAAAGCCCTTTGAGCTATAGCTGTATTCTACCCATGGCCCTTTTGTTAATGAGGTAGACGATCTCATGAATACACAAAACCATTAGAGCCTAGACCAGATAATGGCCAGGAATTCCTATTCCTGCTCAACTAAGGGTTGCTAACACTAGGAAAACCAGCTCCTCCACAACAACAATGCATCCCGTTCAAACGAGGGCAGAAGAGCAGCATTTTCCCGTCTTGGGAAGGAGCCATTCCACAGACTATAGACAGGTAACTTGCTCACCTGCACCAAGGGACAGAACTTACCCAAACTCCTCCCAACTTCTCTAGGACTTTAGGGTCAACAAATTGTAAGACCAATCTTGGTTCCTTTAAATGAGAAAGGCAGTATTCAAGGGTCACATATACTTACTTCTTGGGATATGATAGGTCTACCCAGCTGTAGTCAGAATTACAAAATATCTCTGAGTGTGCATCAGGGAGGGTTAGACGCACTCAGGGCTGCCTGGCTGACAGCTTGGGCTCTCTGAAAGTTGCTAACTTCCTGAGGGGTACGCAAATACTGCTCTATTTCACCATCAGAAATGTCCTCATCTCCAGTCACTGTGGAGGCAGGGGGTGTGGACTGGATCCGCTTTGGGGGCTTCAACATGCAGGGTGGGAGAAGGGCAGGACTGGCTGGCCTCTTCCCCTTGGGCAGACTGAAGACGCTGTGCTCCACCTCTTGCTGTCCTGGCTCCTGCTGCTGCTTCTGGGTCTCTACTTCTGCTGTTCCGTCCTGAAAAGCCATGCGGAGCAGCATGTGGCGGTGCTGGAGAAGGTCATCAATGTGTCTCACCACAGAGCGCTTATCAAGTTTCAGAACCCGCAACCAGGCCAGCTGCTCAGCCATCCGTAGCAGCACAGCCAGGAACTCCTGGAGACGAGATGCAGCAGGGTAGGGCAGGTCCACGTTTGCCAATTTACAGAATCGGGCAAGAGAGCATGCCAGTCGATCTGAAGGCCGTAGAGACTGCCATGCCAGGAAGGCAGCTGCAGTGATGATGGGCAGAGGGTGCCGCCCGGTCACCAGCCACGTCTCATTTGCCAGCTCCACCAACAGCAGGGTCCGGGACAGCATCTTGTCTCTATCTTCCACATACTTGGCTGGCACCAATGGGGAAGCCTGGAACAATTTGAAGCTGAAATGACCAAAATGAGGGTCAAGTCAATGAGGACAGGGCAGTGCTCTTCCAGGGTGAGGAAGGGTAGCACATAGATGGGGAAGCTGTTTTGGGCTAGGGACACTGGGGAGTTCTGGGCATGCTCACTTGGGAGCAAATTCATAGCAGTACTGTCAAAACAGGGCAGAGGCAAGCGGGAAGCGGGGAGGTGTTAACGCAGCCGAGCACCTTCCTATGGATAATTCTGTGTGTTTTAGTGTCCTCAGAGTTCTACCTAAAAATGTACCCTCATAGGCACTTAAGAGCTGAAAAACTTGCCCCATGTCATCCACCTAGAAAAAAAAATCAAGTTTCAACCACTACGGCTTACTGTTTTTTGAAGCGAGGCCTCATTACATAGTATAGGCTAGCCTAATCCTCCTGATTCAGCCCCTCAAGCGCTGGGGTTAAGGGCATGTGCTACCACACCTCGTTGGCCATGGCCATTAGGTTTTTTTTTTCTAAAGGCTTTTTCTAAAAAAAAAAAATATATATATATATATTTTTTATGTGTATGCGTGTATTGCCTGCATGTATGTAAGTGACCCAGTGTCGTGCAATGCCTGCAGAGGTCAGAAGAGGGCATCTGAGTCCCTTGAACTGGAGTTATGGACAGTTGCTAGTTGCCATGTGGGTGCTGGGATTTGAACTCAGGTCTTCTGCAAGGACAGCCAGTGGTGTTTTTTTTAAAATTATTTTTATTTTATATGTATGAGTGTATTGCCTGCATGTATGTGAGTGCACCCGTGTCATACAATGCTGCAGAGGTCAGAAGAGGGCTTCGGATTCCCCTGCAACTGGAGTTAAGGACGGTTCACAGCCGCCATGTGGGTGCTGGCAATTGAACCCAGGTCCTCTGCAAGAACAGTCAATGCTCTCAACCACTGAGCCATCCCTCCAGCCCCAAGGCTTTTAAAAAAAAGTATACTAGTTAGAAAAAATAGGGAGGGAGATGGAGAAGGCAAACCAGGCATGCAAACCTGTAATCCCAGCACCAGAGAGGCAGGAGGATCAAAAGTTCAAGACTTGCTTCAGTTATTTTGAAGTCAGTCTGGGCTATATGAAGTTCTGTACATTTTTTCGGGGGGGGGGTGTCTTTTGGAGACAGGGTCTCTGTAACCCCAGCTAGCCTGGAACTTGCTATGTAGACCAGGTTGGCGTTGAACTCAAAGAGATCTGCCTGCCTGACTCTGAGTGCTGGGATAAAAGATATGCACCACCACACCCGGCGGAGGTTCTGTCTTTAAAACACAAGAAAACAAAAAAAGAAAACCACAAAACCTCCTAACCCTGTTCTGCCATTAACCAGTATTCTTTCAGCTCCATTTATAAGTGATCCTGCTGAACACAGTCCCATGGCCCCTGCCATGGATTGATTCCAAGGACTACCATTCATAAAGCAACAGTGGTATAACTGGCAGTCCTGTGCCAAGACTGGTAATGGATTTTCTACATCGTCAGTCCTGTGACGGAAAAGGGATTTACAAATTAAAGCATTCTAGAAATGTACAATGTTACTAATCTCAATTACAGTGGGCACAGAATAGGAAGGAAAGACTTTCTCCCTCATCTTTTGAGAGACAGACTCTGGTCACAAACAACCAGAGATGAAAGAATGCATCTAATCAGGAAACAGCCTAGGAAGGTACCTGCTGCAGTAAGCCTTCACCAAGTCTGCTAAGCACAGAGATGGCACATTCAGCCCCAAAAGCTTCACTATCTGCATGTAGGTGCCAGAAAACACATCCAGATCAGCATACAACAGGGTACAGATGGTTCCCATGGTTAAGGGCCAGTTATGTTGCCGGCAGGTGATTAGAACACAGCATCCAACCACCACTTCCTTCTTCTGCAGCCTAGAAGCACGGATGCCGGAGAGCTGGTATGCCTTTTGATAGTAGGCAACTGCGATGTCCTCAAATGTTACTGGCAACTTCAGAACTTGACACAGGTCTTTCACTCGGCGAAGATCTAGGAAAACCCATAGTAAGCAGAGAGGTGAAAGGAGGTAGTGTATACCTACTAGCAAGTTTTGCTAGACTCCATTTAGTTTTGCTGAACTTGCCACATATACCAGATGCACAAATAAAAATGTCCTCTTCTGTATTGACAGGAGACCTGGTATGGCCATTTGTTCTGTGGTGCTGGTATGGTCTTTAAGCATACTATACAAACTTTTTAACACTGGGCTGTACTTCTAGCCCCCGTATGGTCATTCTAAATGTACAGAACATTTGTTGGAAGACGTCATGTTCAACCTATAACCGTTTTAAAAGCTTCTTTGATTTATGGCCTAGGCAAAGTTTTTGTGGCACTGGGAATTGAATTCCCAAGTGTTACAGATGGTAAACACATTTTCTGTCATCATTCTCTGCTCCTGGCTTCACAGCCGAACTTTCTATCCAGGCTCCTTGAGGCTACCTTAAACCTTTTGCAGATCCAACCTTATATAGCTACCAGAACTGTCTGCCAACATTTACTTCTGTAATTTTTGGGTTGTGAGACACCTAGCTGGCCTCAAATTCTTGATCCTCCTGCCTTCACCTCCTGAGTATCAGGACTGCAGACACACACCACATGTAGTTCTCCTGAGTGTTGGAACTGCAGACACACATCACCACATGCAGTTCTTCTTGTCTTTATTTTTCATGACTGCTCTTCTAACCTACCTTATGCCAGTAATGCTGAAAACAGAAGCATCAGATGGACTAGGCCATCAAGATAATTTTCTGTCAACATGTCATAAAAGATTGATTCTTTCTAGGCATGGTGGTGCACGCCTTTGATCCCAGCACTTGGGAGGCAGAGGCAGGCGGATCTCTGTGAGTTCAAGGCCAGCCTGGTTTACATAGTGAGTTCCAGGCCAGCTGGGGCTACAAGGAGATCCTGTCCCAAAAAGACCCAAATAAATAAAATAAAATATTTAAAAAAAAATTTCTCACCTCGTTGCTGGCTGCGACTGACTTGTTCGTTTTCTCCTGTGCTTTGAGAATATGTTACTTCTGTGAAACAATAAAGAACAGAGCACTTGGCTTTTATTCCTCAGCCCCTTGCCCTTCCACCATACAAGGCCAGGGAGATTTCAAATTACTGTGCATCTGCTTCCCATCTCCTAGAAGACAGCCATCTACGTAAACGGAAGGGATCTTCTGGGTGTGTCCACAGGCTGAAGAGTTGGGACTGAACCCCAAGCGTCACACATAGTAAGCACATGAGACAGAGGAGGGTTAGGACTGTACTAGTCAGGAACTAGGGGAGAGATGGGCGGGAGGGGCATGTTTTTGCCAAACAGTGCTAAAAACTACTATGGGGTAACAGTATGTGTTATATTCTTAATTTACCCAGGATCCTTCAACACAGAGCAGTCCTGACAATGACTCTGTTTCATTTATTCATCATTTACTATGCCAACCCCACACTAGGAACTGGGAAACCTCGGATTAAGTGCAAGTTTTGGTCCCCTTCAGCTCATGTGTTTACTTTAAGCCAGCTTCTCGCATAACTGTTCATGACTGGAGGGACAGGAAAGGAAGGAATCTGGTTGCCGGCACTCTACCCCAGCTATCCCTTGGGCTTCAGGAGGGATTGGCGCGGGTACCTCGGAGGTTGCCCTCGTCGCTGAAGGTGGTGGTGAGGACGCCTTCGGTGACCACGCAGCCGCAGTTGGAGCACACCAGCTGGCTCTGTGCATAATGCGAGTCTTCCACCAGCTCCGCGGAGCCGCAGTCGGGGCAGCGGCTTCCGCCCGGCATTGCTTCAGCGCAGCGGTAACCCCACAACAGCCACTCAGAACCCAGCGACCGCGCCGCAGAAACGTGAACGGGGCCTAACAGGGGTGGCACCTCGCTCTTCCGGCCAGCGGGACCGCAGCCTAGTGGTTTGCTCCGCCCAGCGGCCGCGCGCCCCTTCCGATCCTTCCTGTGGGCTCGGGTAGAAACCAGAACTAGGAAGAAAGGTTCCAGGAGTGGTGGCGCATGCCTTTAATCCCGGAGGCACTCTGGAGGCAGAGGCGGCCGATCTCTGTGAGTTCAAGGCTGGCCAGGTCTACACAGTGAGTTCCAGGTCTAAAAAAGACCAGAAAAAAAAAAAGTGAGCTACTTCTGCGTACTTAGAGACCTGATGTGCTTCCGCCTCCCCAGTGCTGAGATTACAGGCTTGTGTCACTGTGCCTGGTCCAATCTCTTCTTAAAAATCAAGAGGAGGGCTGGAGAGATGGCCAAGTAGTTAAGAGCACTGGCTCGTCTTGTAGAGGACCTGGGTTGGGTTCCTAGGATCCATAAAGTGGCTAACAACTGTCTGTAACTCCAGTTCCAGGGGAGCTGATGCCCTCTTCTGGCCTCTCCAGACACTCCATGCACTTGATGCACAGAACTCAAATACATAAAATAAAAAATAGGTTTAAAAAAAATTCAAGAGGAATCAGTTTCTCCTTTTCTATGTGACAATTTTGGCCATAATAGAAAATACACCGTTCTGCAGTGAGAGCAGTACATTGTCCTCTGCCAAAAATGGTGGCACACACTTGTAATCCTAGCCCTTTGGACGTGGTGACAAATCAACATGTTGAGCATGGTGGTGCACACCTAGCCAGTCTACATGATTAGTTTCAGGCCAGCAGAGGCTACAGAGAGACCCTGTCTCAAAAAGAAACTGTGGGGGGGGGGCACTGGAGCGATGGCTCAACGGTTGAGAGTATTGACTGCTCTTGCAGAGGACCCGGGTTCGATTCCCAGCACCCACATGGTGGCTACGAACCGTCCTTAACTCCAGTTCCAGGGGAATCCAAAGCCCTCTTCTGACCTCCGCAGCATTGCACGACACAGGTGCACTCACATACATGCAGGCAATACACTCATACACATAAAAAAAAATAAAAAACCTGTCGTGCACACGCACACACACACACACACAACCCTTTATGGCCAGGTGTGGTGGTAACATGTCTGTAATCTCAGCACTCCTGAGGCTGAGGCAGGAAGGTCATGAATTGAAAGCTAGCCTTGGCTACATAGCAAGTTCAAGGCTAGCCTGGGATACATACAACACACGGTCTCAGAACAAAGGGATGTGGTTCAGTTGATAGAAAGCCTTGAGTTTGATCTCAGTACCACATAAACCAAGAGTGGGGGCACATGCCTGTTACATGCCTGCTACTCAAGCACTTAGTTTTAGACAGTTCAGTTGTTTTGACTGGGGTCCCTAAAGGCAGCACAATTAGCATTGGAAATGATTATGTGTTTTAACTTGTTTTGTTTTTCTAAATTTTTGAGACAGGAGCTTACTGAGTAACCCAGACTGGCTTCCAAGTCATGATCTTCCTGCTTCAGCTTCTGGAGGGCTGGGGTCAGACACACAACCCAGTCTGGATTTTATTACATTGCTATACAGAACAGCATCTGATTATTTTCATCCCTAAACCTGTGCAGACCTTGGATTTCAATGTGTTTAAAGTAGGAAAAGGTGGGGTTTTAGAGAGGCTGGACAGTCCACTTTCTCTATTGATCCTCTCACCTGCACCTGTAAGGGTTCGAAGAGTGTCCCAGTAAAGGGTGTCTGAGCGCCATGAGAGGTTTCTCAGACCTGGAGGAGGGCAAGATTCAGGTCAACATATGGCACCCTACTAATCTGTGTATGCCTAGTACGCTCCTATTTTCTCAGAAGGAAACTGATGTATCTGGAACAGTATTTGTGTTGTTCCAAGCTGTCAGGACAGTCCCATCATCTGAAGGGCCCGCTGCATTGCTGCAAGCTCTTCTAAGAGCTCTTGTCATCCACAAGAATGACCATCTGAGGCTCCTAAGCTGAGTGCCTAGAACAGCTGGTTAGAACTACTGGGGAGGAAGATGTTGAAAACGAAACTCCAAACAAGGCCCAGGGAGGCTGTTGGAAAGTAGCCCAAGGCATGGTCCACGATGTGCAATGTGACCTTTGAGGCTGGGTCTTTATGTTTATTTTTCTAGAAGGGTGAATGAAGAGGGAGGTGCTCAAGGAGTGGGTCTGGAGACAAGGAATCCTTCTGCCCAGCCCCCCTTGGCTATATCTGTGTATATTCCAGTGTGTTGTCCGCCTGGCCATTTTCCCCCTTGATTGCAGGTTTCTGTGGTTTTCTCATCTTGGGTAGGGCTGGCACTGGGTAAACAGGGTTCAACTCCTGTGAATATCTTTCCTGGGTGGGCCTGTGAGAAGCACCAAATAGAATTTTTCAGATGGTCTCCTCTTTTCTTAGCTCCTTTTAATCTAGAACAAGTGGCCAGTGAGAGCTGAACTGCTCTTGAGGGTTGTAACCCAGCCCTAGTTGGCTCCTTTCAGCTCACTTGACTGAAACTTTGTGACTAACACAGTTTCATCTGAGCCCTGTAGACACTTTCTCGTTGTTACCCTAAGCCTGGCAGTTCCATCGGGCTTTGGAGTCTTTCTGCCTGGATTTCCTTTCCATCACATGAGACTGAGTGGACATTTATTCTCCAACACTCACTGGTGAGACAATCCAGTACAAAGTGTGGATTTCCTAAATCAGAGTACCTTTATTTGATTTTACTTTCCCTTTATATGTTTCTTTGCCCCTCTCCCCACATATACATGAATACACACACACACACACACACACACACACACACACACACACACACACACACAGAGTGTCCTGGCCTGACACACACACACACACACACACACACACACACACACACAGAGTATCCTGGGCTGAGAAGTAATATGCCCAGATTCTTGAACAACTAGGAATAAAGGCATCTGTTAACTTTCTTTTCCTTTTTTGAAAAAATGCTTATTTTTGATACAAACCTCACATGTAGCCCAGACCAGTCTCAAACCCTTCATCTTTCTGCCTTGGCTTCTCAAGTGCTAGGATTCCAGGTGTGTGCTGCCACTGTTGGCTGGCATGTGACAAGTCTAAATGGTCATGGGTCAGAGCAGGAACATCAGTCACTCACCTGGATTGTCTCTTCTGGGAGGCTAGGGATGATCTGGTTTTATGCAAGTCCAGTTGCTCTAATCTTTCACAATTCCACAGAACATTATCTCCTTGGCCCTCAAAGTGATTTTAGAGTAGGGACTGGCCAACTTCTTCTGTAAAAGGCCAGATAGCAAGTATTTGGGTTTTCAATGACAAATTGCCCTGTGCTGTAACTATCTGACCTGCTACTGTAAAGTGAAAATAGCTGCACATGACCGTGTGAATAGACAAGCGTGGCTGTGCCCAGTGAAGCTCCATTTATGGACATTGAAAGTTGAATTTCATGTAATTTTTGTGTCATGGAATACCACTGTTTTGATTGTTTCCCCCCCAAATTTTTTAAATTTATTTTTATTTCATGGGTATGAGTGTTTAGCCTGCATGCATGTAATTGTACCTATGTGTGCAATGCCTGCAGAGGCCAGAAGAGAGTATTAGATCCCTTGGAACTGGAGCTATGGATAGCTGTTATCTGCCATGTGGGTGCTGGGAACTGAACCCAGGTCCTCTAGAAGAGCAGCCACTGCTCTTAACTGCTGAGCCATCTTGGCAGTCCCTATTTTGATTATTTTAAATGATCAAATAAACGTACAAGTCACCCTTGGCTTGAAAGCTGTACAAGGAGGTGACAAGCTGTTTGCCGACCCCTTTCTAGACCTCTAAGTCAGACAGATTAGGGGGTCAAATCATTTATTCTTTTAAGAGATGGGAGTCTCACTGTTCTCCCTACGTTGGTCTGACTCGTGGGCTGAAATAAACCTCCTATCCGGAAGTCTGGAACTTTTCCTGAGTAGCTGTGACTGTAGGCACGTGCACCACACTCCACTAAGCCCTTATTGAGTTACTGAGGTGTGATTTAGGCAAACTAAAGTTCTCGAGCCTAAGTCTCAGTCTCATTTTCCCAATAGTTCCTATTTACCTTGACTAGAATTAGGAATACTTCAGTGCCTCCCTTTTGCTATGAAGGCTCAGCCGGCAGGGAAGACATGTAAGGAAAGCCTCTCAGAAGCAGCCTTTTCTCAGCTCTGTGGGGGTTGTCAAGGGTTATATGTGTCATTAGTGTGACTTTTTTCAGGGTTCGGGATACAGGGTTGTGCTGGATAGCTTTAGTGTCAACTTGACACACCTGGGTTGAGGGAGCCTCAATTGGGGAATTGCCTCCATTGGACTGGCCTGTGGCCATGTCTATGGGGCATCTTCCTGATTGTTGAGTGAGGTGGGAGGGCCCAGCTGTTCTCTCTCCCTCCCTCCCTCCCTTTCTGTGTCTCTCCTCACACAAACACACATTTCCTGTTAATAATTCCAGAGTCAAGGGGATGAGACTGGAGTTGGCTTAGCAGTTAAGAGCACTTGTTATTCCTGTGGACCCGAGCTTGGTTCTCAGCACCCACATGGCAATTGGCAACCATTCATAACTCCAGTTCCAGGGGATCTGACGTCCTTTGTGGGCACTGCAGCACCTGGTGTACTTACCCATGCTGGCAAAATATGCACACACATAAAATAACAAAATTTTTTTTTTTAAAAGACAAAACTTGTGTCCCACCTTAGGCTGGAAGGCTGCCTGCTAAGGGCTGGGCTTGGTAGCAGCAGCAGGAACCAAACGGAAAGAACTCAAGACAGGGAGGCAAGAGAAACTAATGTCACCATGCCAGTCATTTGTGCAAACTCCCCCCCCCGGGGACTTTCTGCAGTCCCTACCCTCTCTCCCCAACAGGGGGCTACTATAAGAAAGGGCAGCTTCAGCACTGGGGTAGATATTCACATGATGTCAATGCCATGATCCCTCAGGATAAGATGACTGTGTCAAAGGTCAGACATATGCTCTGTTCTCAGCAGAAAGGACTCCGGGACCCCTGGGTACCGATCATCACTGTAGCTGCAGAAGAGACTTAGCACACTTGTACAGACACAAGTCTTTGAAAGGTAGTACCATTTTATTTAGTGTTATAGGAAATTTTAGGTTGAGACAAGGTCTCGTGTACCCCAGACTCTCTTCAAATTCCCTGTCTATGTAGCTGAGGATGACCCTGAACTTTTGATCATCCTGCCTCTGCCTCCCCCAATGCTGGCAGGGATTATAGATGTGCACCATTATGCCCATATATGTGGCACTGGGGATCAAACCTAGCACTCTGTGCATTCTAGGCAGGTACTGTACCAACTGGACTACACCCTTGACCCTAGGTTATTTCTTAAAAGTAATTCTAAGAAAATTCAAAATCCCTTTAATCTCACTCCTTTAATCCCAGCACTTGAGAGGCAGAGGCAGGGGGATCTTGGTGAGATCCAGGCCAGCCAGGCCTACATAGTGAGTTTTAGGCCAACTAGGGGTATAAGGAGACCCTGTCTCAAGAAAAAACAAACAAACAAAAACCCCACCAAACAAACAACAACAACAACAACAACAACAAAACCTCAAAGTTATAAAGCAGGGTACAGTAATTCTGTAATTAAAATCCCCAGGTGAGCCTTCAGTTAGTGGGAGGAAGCATCAATTCAGTAACTCACAAAGTAGGTAGGAGAATCCAGTGTTGGGGTTGGTGTGGATTTAAGTTTCCCATCTAAAATAATTTTTTCAGTGTTGAAGGATTCTAATTAGTAGCTTTTAACTACTCCCCACCCCCCACCTCCAGAAAACAGGAGCAGCAGCATATACTAAGTCACACTTGGGAGGTAAACACAGGAGGATCAGGAATTCAAGGTCATTCTTAGCTACATAGCTGGTTCGAGGCCAACCTGGGCTACTTTAAACTCTGTCTCAAAAAACAAAACTAAAATAAAAAATAAAAAAAAGAGAAACAAAAAAATTGGAGCCAAGGAGACATCTATTCAGTGGTAGAGAATGGACTTGGTGTGCATAAGGCCCTGGGTTTGACTTCCAGCACACACAAAAAAGGGGGAGGGGTTTGGGTGGGAGAATGATCCAGAGGTGAAGAACTAGCATGATTTAACATCAGAACTCTGGCTGCAAATACAGTATGCAGCAAAGCATCATGGAGCTGCCTCCCTGTGCCCCACTGAACCCCCACGGGGTGGCTGGACCCATACAGTTCATCTATCAGGCTTCTACCCAGGTATGGAACTGCTACGTCAGTAAGGTTAACACACTGGAGCAGAATGGAAAGGGCAGGCCATCTGCCAAAGCCCAAGGAATGAGATGCTACAAAACTACCAACAGCTCTTCAGGAAGCCATTAGTATCTAATTCAATGTTAGCTCTAACATCCTGGTTTGTCTTACTGGAGGTAGTCAAACAAGGGCAAGGAAAGACCCTCTGTTTCTCCAGGGCATGGTCCCCCTCCAGGACCCCTCACTTCCGTATCTACAGCAAGCCAGTGGACACCCTTAGGCACGTGCCAGCTACAGTAGCTCCAGTGTTCCAATTCACCAGCCTCCACTAATGGCGCAGTGCAGGCTAAGCTTTTCTTAGACAAGTCTCTTCCCTCAGCCCCAAACTGCATCTTTAAGACCAGCTATTAAGTGGGTAGTCTCTAGGTTATCTTCCTCATGAGTTACAGGAATGCTGTAAGTGGAAAGTTTTCCAGCACTACCAGAAGCCAGTGAAGCCCTTAGTAAATCGTCCTTCATTCTCCAGAGTTCCCAAGTGGTACTTCTGAACACAGGAATCCATCCACCCATATGGTCCTCTCTAATGCTAACCCAGTTACAGACTGAAGGTCCTAGTGGCAGATACCGACAGATCCTTCCTGAACAGGACAGTCCCCCGGCTGGCTCTTCCAAGGAGGAGTGTTCCTGTTATGCTTGGGTTATCACAGTAAAAATGCATTTCTATCAAGTAAAAAGCACAGTGCAGAACAGATGTATACATGTAAATTTTCAGAGTTTCAAGAGGATATAGTTTTCTTTATAGGCATGTTAAGCAATTTCATAGCACTATAAAAATACAAGTCATCTCAGAAATTTGCAGTGGTCCCCAGTATTGTAGGAGAGATTAAATTAAATAGGTTTAGATCATTAACAGCTAATTAGACATCAAGTTACAGTATCACCCTTCGGATTAAAGTGCTCCAATATACCCAATGCTGCAGCTGTGTAACCTGACAGGGGATCTGGCTGTCAGTCGTCTTTACCTTCAGGATGATAAGGGCGTACCCAGAAGACTCTCCATTAATAACCAACCACCTGTCCTTGCCACTGGCCTGTGATCCCTCAGCAAGGCTGCTAAGAATGTTTTCTTTATTTTGAGACAGTGCCTTTCTGTAGTCCCAGGTGGCCTGTAACTGGCTATATAGATCAGGGTGGCCTCGATCTCACAGAGATGCACCTGCCCCTGTCTCCCCAGTGCTGGGATTAAAGGTGTGTGCCACCACCCTGCAAAGATGTTAAGATTTGATGAGATTCTGTTATAACCAGGAGGAAAAAAAAATGAACACGAAACATTCTAATTCCAACATGAGGGATCAGAAATGACTTTCCTCTAACAGTTAAGAAGGGGCCAAATGCTCTAGTTTAAAAAAAAAAAAAATACTTGCCAGGTGTGCTGGCACACGCTTTTAATCCCAGCACTTTGGAGGCAGAGGCAGGAGGATCTTTGTGAGTTCCAGGCCAGCCTGGTCTACATAGTGAGTTCCAGGCCAGCTGGGGCTACAAGGAGACCCTGTCTCAAAAAAAGACAAAAAAAATTAATCTTGTTTTAAAAGTACAGGCATAGTGACACATACCTATAATCATTTAGGAAGATAAGACAGGAAGGCTTCAAGTTTGAAACCAGTGAGGTCCTGTCTCAAAACAGCAGTGACAACAAAACTTCCCGCAAATAGAAAAGCAGCAATTCGAAAAAAGTATCATCTGTTGCTTGTCACAACTTTTACTTACTGATTTTTGCAGTGCTGGGGATAGAACCCAGGGCTTCGCACATGTTATATAAATGCTCTACCATTGAGCCCCAGCCCCAGTCTCCTTCATCTTGAGGAGTCCATGGACTCTGTTCACTACCCTTCAAGACTGCTACCCAGGAAATCAGTCAGGCAAGCCAAGGCACACTGGAGACTACAGTGCAAAAGGCACCAGTAGGAATGGCCAGAGGACCCCCTCCTAAACCACTCTACCTCACAGAACTGTTGAAATAACAGCCTGGATTGCCCAACCCTCTCTCCAGGCACTGGACTGGTCAACCCAGCAGCAGGAACCCTGACATCACAAGAGGAGGGACTTTGACCACTCTCCCCTAATTGCATGAAAGTGACTCTTTAGTTCCTTCATTTTATCCTTCATCTCTCCAGATGGCCCTACAAATCTAAGAGCACATTGTGTTTGTGTAAGCATGTGTGCACCCGTGTGTGGGTATGCTCAACTGTATAGGTGCGTGTGGGTGTGCTCAACTAGATAGGTGTGTGTGGGTGTGCTCAACTGGATAGGTGTGTGTGGAGGCCAGAGGTTTAAGGTTGCTCTTCATTTTCTTGTTTGAGACAGGATCTCTCACTGAACCTGGAATTCCCTGTTTCAGCTAGAATGTGTGGTCAGTGAGCCCCTGGGATCTGCCTGTCTCTGGTCCCTAGGGCATGGGTTATAGGCACACATGCCTGACATGGGTGCTGGGGGCCCAAACTTGGGTCCTCATGCTTGTAGGGCACTTTACCCACTGAGCCATGTCCCTAACCCTAAAGAGCACATTTTATTATTTTTTTTTCCTTTTTGAGGCAGGGTCTCATTATGTAGCCCTGGCTGGCCTAGAACTCACTATGTAGACCAGGCTGGCCTTGAACTCACAGAGATCCGCCTGCCTTTGCCTCTCAAGTTCTGGGATTAAAGGCATGGGCCACCACACCTGGCTCAGAGCACATTTTTTAAGGCTAGAAGGTAGTGGGAATTGGAAGAGGCAGTTTGTTCAAAATCTAAGAAACATGCTTAGCGCTTTCTCTAAACAGCTCTGCTCCAGTCAAAAGGAATCAAACCAAGTTAGAGCTGCGCAGGGCAGTACACAGTAGAGATCCCAGCACTTGGGAACTGGAAGCAGGGAGGTCAGAAGTTGAAGGTTAGCCTCGGCTATATAGCAAGCACATTCTATCTTAAAAACAAAACCCCAAGAAACAAAAATCCCAAACAAAACAAAACATGATATAAAAATTTAGCGTTTGCAGGCAAAGAGTGACACCTGAGCTGCTCAAAGGCCAAGATCCGATCATCTCACCAAGGTTTCACGGCTGGAGGATATACTTGAAAATCTCAGTATCAAAGAAGACAACCCCAGTGTTACAGTTCGTCTGAGCCATCTGAATCTCTGGTTTAGGATCTAATCTTGGTATTTACAACCTAGTTAAAGGCACAGTGGCATTTAAAAATAAAACCCTGGAAATGTACAGGGAAAGAGTCATTGTAATAATCAACCTGGCTTCAACTGGAAGAACTCTTGATAGATAACACACAAGGGAGGTGGTGATCTGGAGCCTGCGGGCTGGTGATTAGGCAGACCATGTCTTTGCCCTCAAGAGGAGGTGGAAACAAGCTCATGAATCATCTCAGTGGTTCCTTCTGGTTCAAACTTTTCCCGCCTTTTTGCCGAGCTGAGCCGGAATGCGGAGGATGTTGGGGGTCTCCTCCATGACTCTGACTAGCAAGTTGTCGATGTAGTCTTCGAGCTCACGAACCTGAAACTCCTTCTTGCTGATGGTTTCCTTCTGTTTGAGGACCAGCTGGATCAGCTCATCATGGGTCAGCTGTGCATAGGCGAAGGCAGGATCTGAGGGGTCGTATTTCTTTGGAGAGGGGAAGAAGAGAGGAAAAGATTATAAACTCAACAGAGAAATCAAACATCCTTATCATCAGTGATCTGAATCTTTTGGAAATCCATTTTCCTTTTTTTTTTAAAGATTTTATCTATTTTTATTTTTATTTTATGTGCATGAGCGTTTTGCCTGCATGTATGTTAAGTGCACTGTGCACCTGCAATGCCCGTTGAAGGCAGAAGAGGGTGTTTGATCCCCTGGAGCAGTAGTCATGGATGCCATGTGGGTACTGAGGACTGAACCTGGGTCCTCTGGAAGAAGAGTAACTGCTCTTAACTGCTGAGTCATCTCTCCAGCCCCAGAAATCCATTTCCAATGCAGACTGAAAACAGGCTGCTTACAGAGGAAGTATCTTAGACTGTAGAGCATGTACAGCCTGTATTCTGCCTTTTGTTTTACAACCCTTTTCAAATGTAAAAACCAGGGGCTGGTGTGTAACTCTGTAGTAGAGCACCTGCCTAGCACGTGTAAAGGCCCTAGGTTTGATCCCCAGCATCACAAAATAAAAAGGCAGGAAACTTACTTGGCTCAAACCTCTGGACTTGACTCTGGGTATGACATTTCAGGAAATGTAATAAGGCCCTTGGTGGTTGGGAGGGGAGTGGGGGAAGAGGCAGCAGTGATGGCGGTGCCCAGAGGTGTGGTATGCACCAGTAGCCCAGTTACTGGGGAGGCTGAGGTTAATGAACCACTTGAACCCACAAGTTTGAGATCAGCCTGGGAAAGTCATACAACCACCTATCAACACACATATGACACAAGCTGCAAAGCAGACCTGAGAGGGTGTGGGAGAGCATGCTCCTGCCAACACAAGAGGGCCATCATCCCAGCCAGTCTGTTACCCCTAAGCTCCCTTGGAAGGATTTAGCGAGGAGGATGCAGTGGCCACTCAGAGTCCCCACATGAACTCATTCCACACTTGCAGAATATGAAGAGGGAAAGCCAAGTGCCACAGACAGCTTCCGAACACACACCCTCTGGGTACATGGTGGCCTGTCCCAGAGCTGACTGTTCCTATTCTTGATGTGAGTGTGCACCCCAAACAGTTGCTTTTAACAGTATTTATCATCTGGGATGACCATGAAAGCCAAAGAGTCAGTAGGAAATAAAAGATAAAAGATTAAAATAAGCAGTAACAATTCACACCAAGTTTCCAGGAAGGAGTAAGGGAATGAGCTGGTAAAATGCAGCTTAGCAGATTTACAAGTTGAAAGGAACAAGATTCCACAGCAAGACGATTTTGCCTAGAGAACTCCAGGCAGTAACAGTTTTTGCCCCAAAGGCCTGACAATTCTATGATCTACCAGGGAGGCTTTAATAAGTAAAAGTCTATCTCCTTCAAAAAGCAGAGTTTCGGGTCATGCACGCCTTTAATTCCAGCACTTGGGTGGCAGAGGCAGGTGGATCTCAAGACTGCCCTGATCCACAAACAAGTTCCATGCCAGCTAGGAGAGTGAGACCTTGTCTCAACAAACAAACAAACAAAATAAAAAAGCAGCAAAGTCAAGGGAAGAATCAACACTTATGTTCAGCATTATGAGGGAAGCACCTGCCCCATCCAGGGAACAAAGTTCCTGCATAGAGGTCATGGACAAAATCTTGTCACCATGCTGGCCCAGAAACACACACTGGTGTGTTCATACACAGAGCAAGTCTGAATCCAAGACAGCTGCACATAAGTGAGATGCTAAACTACTTATTACTCTAGGAATTGTGCCTTCCCACTCTCCTCCCTGCCTCCAACTCCCAAGTACTGGGAATTACAGGAGTGCGCCACCGCACCTGGCTTTCTTCCCCTCTTCTCTCCTTATTACTCCCCCTCCCCTTTTTTTTTTTCTTTTGAGACAGGGTCTCCCTATAGCCACAATTGGTCTGGAACCTATGTAGACCAGGCTGGCCTCTGCTTCCCAAGTGCTGGGATTAAAGGCGAGCACTATCCCGCCCAGTTTCTTTCAATCTTTTTGAGATAGGGTCTTAAATATCCCAGGCTGACTTCAAACTCACTATATAGTCAAGGATTGCTTTAAACTTCTAATCCTCCTGCCTCCACTTCCTAAGAGCTTGGATTACAAGCAAGTGCACTATGCCCAGTTCAGGCAGTATTAAGGTTCAAATCCAGGGATTCATGCATACCAGTCAAACACTCTACCAACTGAGTCACATTCCCAGCCCTTTTCTTGGCTTTTTAAAAAATGGTCTATATCATATATACTATACTATTACAGCCTTTTTTATAAAATAAAACACTGCAACATTTATTTTGTGTGTGCGTGCATGTGTGTGCCACAGTGTACATGCGGAGTTCAGAGGACAACCTGTGGGAGTCAGGTCTCTCTTCCCACCATGTGGCTCCTGGGGATCAGGTCTTCAAGTCTGGTGGCAAGTGCCTATTATTAAATTTTAGTAAAAATTGATTTAATATAATTTTTTGGGGGGGGGTTCTTATTTTGACACAGGGTCCCCTGTGGCCCCAGCTAGTCTGGACCTGGATATATAGACTGGGCTGGCTTTGGTGTCATAGAGCTCTGCCTGGCTCTGCCTCTGAGTGCTGGGATTAAAGGTGTGTGTGCACCACCACACCAGCTTAATAGAAAATTCTAATTCCCTATTTTAACTACCACTATACTGCTAGAAAATTATGTTGTTTTTAACTTTCACAATTATATGTAACATTTAAAAAAAGTTTATTTATTATTTTTATTTTATGTGTATGTGTGTATTGCCTGCATGTAGGTAAGTGCACCCGTGTTGTGCAATACCCTCGGAGGACAGAAGAGGCTGTCGGATCCCCTGGGACTGGAGTTATAGACAGCTGTTAGTGGCCATGTGGGTGCTGGGATTCGAACCTGGGTCTTTTGCAAGAACAACCAGTGTTCTTAACTGCTGAACCATCTCTCCAGCCCCAACATTATTTTTTTTAAAGATTTTTTTTTTTTTTTTTGTCTTTTTGAGACAGGGTCTCCCTGTAGTCCCAGCTGGCCTGAACTAACTATGCAAACCAGGCTGGCCTTGAACTCAGAGTGCTCTGCCTGCCTCTGCCTCCCGAGAGCTGGGACTAAAGGCGTGCGCCACCACACCTGACTAAAGATTTATTTTATTTTAAATTATGTGTATGCATCTGTGTGTATGTCTGTGCACATGAGTGCAGGTGCTTGTGGAGGTCAGAAAAGAGTGTGTTGGGTCACTTGGTGCTGGGATTAGAGGCAGTTGTAGGCTGCCAGATGTGAATACTGGGAACAAAAGTTGGATCCTCTGCAAGAGCAGCAAGTGCTCTTAACCGCAAAGCTATCTCTCCAGCATCTATATACAGCATTCTTGTTAAGATATAGGCTGGGTGTAGCGACATATGCCTGTAATTCCACCACTTGGGAAGCTGAGGCAAGGGGGACGGGAATTCAAGTCCAGCCTGGGCTACATGAGACCTTGTCTCAAACAACAACAAAAATAAATAAAATCTTTGGCCAAATCTCTAAATACTTCCCCAAGATAAACTGAATGAATTAAGGGGCATGCATCTGTAAGGCTAAGGAGCTACTCAACTTGAATTCTGTTATCAAAGGAGACAGAAGACATATAGGATGCTGAAATCAATAGAAGATTCTAGTTATTTATAAGTGAAAAATGACTAATGCAAGAAAGAATGGTGGCCTTCGTCAGGTGCTCCCTGAGGAGTGTCACACTGGATTTTTATTTTATTTACTTGTTATAATGATGTAAATTCAAATGTGTCCAACTTCTCCAAATATTATAACATGAGATTTCTGCCTCTAGTTGGCCCTCCTACTTTAAAGTGGAAATGTTAAAGCCATCTAGGTAAATAACACACTCCTACTTATAAATTATCTACGCTTACTACAAAGCATCTATTATCCAGTAGGCCAGGAGGAGCTCCATGGAACGTTCCATATTTACCCAGAATATTTACTAGGGAGGGTCCAAGCCCAGGAGGCTGTGGCCAGCACAGGGGCAGCAGTGGGCTTACAGTCACTACTCAAATAAGCAGGGCTGTGTTTCTTTTGTACTAAGTTACTCTTTTAATCGGGTCTAGGAAATAAGCCCCTGACAAAATGAGCTTTGGACAGTAAATAAAATGGGAGCCGAGGGTCTTGCTGACTTCCAGAAAAACAGGCGATTGTTTTTTCTGGGGTTCAATGCACAGCACATCACATCAATCAATCAAAAATGAATGAATAAATAAATAATAAGTAAGTAAAGCCAGAGGGAACCACAAAGCCTTCAGCAGTAAAAGGAAGTGTGGTAAGAGGTTGCTGTATGACTCTAGTTGTCATTACGTCACCTTGTGCCCTTTGGCTCAACTTCCTGGTAAACGTTGTAAACTCCAGGAAGATAGTGCTGGTGCCGCTCCCTGCAACGCTCAAGCAGAAGCCAGCAGACCACGCAGGCAGACTGACGGCATGTAAACTGTTAGGCCAGGGCTGAAAGACAGTAGGTTCGTGGCTGTGGCAATGGCTGGTGGTTCTGACAGCACTGCTCCTCCTGCCCTGCTGGCACATTCTACAAGGAAAGGAGGGCAGGAGGGAGCTACATGGTGCTAACTTGTTTCCAGCAATAATTATCACTGCTGAGCTGCTCTTACTCAGACTCTGATCTCCAACATCCAATGAATGCTCATCCCAGCTCTCTGTGGCAGGCGTGCAAGAATAACAGCTACTGGGCATTTAAAAAATGCTTTCTGGGGATGGGGGTTGTGGCTCAGCAGTAGAGTGATGGCCTAGGTTGCCCAAAGCCTTGGTTCAATACCTGGCACCAGACACACACAAGGAAATGTTTTAGGAGTGATAGGGCACAGGTAAATTTTTTTATTGAAAAATAGCCGGGCCTGGTGGCACATGCCTTTGTTCCCAGCACTTGGGAGACAGAGAGAGGTAGGTAGAGCTCTGTGAGACTGAGGCCGGTCTGGTCTACATAGTGAGTTCCAGGCCAGCTGGGGCTACAGGAAGACTCTGTCTAAAAAAATTTAAAAAATTAAAATAAAAGTAAATAAATAAAAAGGGGCTGGAAAGATGGTTCAGTGGTTAAGGTACTGGCTACAGAAGGCAGAAGACTTGGGTTTGGTTTCCAGCACCCACATGATGACTAACAACCATTTATCACTCTAGTTCCAGGGGATCTGATTCCCTTATCTGGCCTCTGTGGGCATTACATGTACATGTGCACCTACATAAATGTAGGCAAAACACTCATATACATTGATAAATAAATAGATAAATAAAAAGGCTATTTATTTTTACAGAGTGCAGCTCCCAGCAGTCAAGTTCCTTTCCACATATCTGAAATACAGCACATCCTTGCCCATTAAATGACACCAGTCAAAGACTAGGGATTTATAACAAGGCAGTAATCTAAATCCTTAAAACTATAAAGGGGTTGGGATGTAGTTCATTGGTGTAGTGTGTGCTTAGCAGGCAAAAAGCTCTGGGGTCCCAGCACCAAAAGAAAGTGAACATTTGAAAGACAAAATTAGCGAAGGAATCCTTCCAGAATAAAGGAAACCAAATGAACAACACATCTCGATGCAAGCACTATCTGGGTTGGCTCCTGGATTGCAAAACAACGGGAAAAGATGCCAAAGATGAGAACTGCCACAGCAGCACCAAATTTCTACATTTCGATGAGCTTACTTATTCTGAGGGGTTAGAGATTCGAGAACTTAGAAGGGGCTGGGAAGGTGGCTCAGTTAGTTAAAATACTTGCCACCAAAGCACGAGGTCCTGAGTTCAGAATTCCAGCACCCACATAAAAAAACATGTGATGGCATGCACCTGTAATCCCATCCCTGGGGAGGCAGGGACAGAAGGAGCTTGGGGCTTATTGGCCAGCTAGTTCAGTTAAATCACTGAGCTCCAGGTTTAGTGAGACCCTGTCTCAAAAAATAAGGTGAAGAGCTATTCAGGAAGACACTTGACTTCAACTTTTAGCCTCTTTACACATGTGCACACCTGCACATACCCAACCCACCCACATATACACATGAACATGTACATATAAGAGATGTGCGCGCGCGTGCGCACACACACACACACACGGAAATTAGGAATAAAAAAGGTCATAATGTAGACAACCTACTTTTCAGTTCAGGAAAAAAATGTCCTGTGTAACTGCATATACAGAAAGAGAGGGAGAGGGAGGGAATGGGAGGAGGTGAAGCAAATTTGAGTCAATGTGAGCAGCTGGCGAGTCTTGATGAAGGGTTTCCAGGAGTTCTTTGTGCTGTTTTGCAACATTTTTAAATACTTGAAACCAGTGCATCTATGTTAACAATTTCATATTCTTGCATGCAGATAAAAAAGAAACTTTGGAAAAAGAAAATGTCATTCATTTTCTTTTCCATAGAAAGAAGTGCTCATTGGACATGGTGGCACCTATCTGTAATCTCAGGAGGCTGAGGCATGAGGGTTGCCACAACTTTGAGCCTAGCCTAGACTACATAGGGAGTTCTAGACCAGCCTGAGCTACAGAGGCCCTGTTTTATTAAAAATAAAACAAATAAACATAAAAAGTACCACCATACAAAATAAAGTGTTAGCGCCAATCTTGTTTTTAGAGATGAAAGAATTCAACAAGAAATAACTATAAAAAAAATTTATCTAGTCAACAGTAAGTCTAGAAGCTTCCAGAAGGTTAGCCAAAGACTGCAAAGACACCAGAGGTCTGATTAAGTAATTTCCAGCATTGCCTGCTGCCTGCGATGTATGTAAAGGGGCCTTGTGCTAGGGATCGAATCCAGGGCACTGCATGCTGGCTGAGAACTTCAACTTTCCTTATTATTTGTTTTGAGATAGCATCTGGCTATGTTGCTCAGGCGGGTCTCAAATTAATGGGCTCAAGCTGTCCCTTCCACCTCAGGCTCCCGTGTGGCCGCCAGTACTCAGATCACACCCAGCTGTAATGGTGAGGACACATGAAGCTTTGCAGAGCTCCGCAAACGTGCCAACTTCTCAGAACACTCACCTTCATCGGGCCTTCGTTGATCAGGTTCTCACTGATGATGGTAGCAGTTCCCAAACTGGAGTTTGTTGTCTTGGTGGTTGTTGTGTTCATTGGCTTCACAGGATGAAGTCTAGAGAAAAGGGAAAAGGATAACTTCTCTGTAACTACAAACAAGAACTGCCCATTTCAAAGATGGCAGCCAGGAAGACAGGCAAGGGGGAGCGGAAGTATCTCTGCTCCAATACCCACTGGGATGTCTTAGCTCCTGTGGAACTGAAAGCAAGCAGGACCAGACAGCCACACACAATGAGGAAAGCACATCCCTGGCCAGGTGTTCCTATGGTCTCTGAGTCCCTCAGTCTGGTTTTCAACACAAGGAGAATAAAGACCACCTCTTAGGCCTAGAGCACAGCTCTGTGGCACAGTGTTGGCCCAGCATGCACAGGGCCTCAGGGTCCACCCCCAGCACTGTGCAAGACAATAATAGTAACAATAAAATAAAAAAGAAAGTTTTTTGTTCTTGGAGGCAGATAGCCTAGGACTCCACTGAGGAGCTCTGCGGAACCTTCTTGCTTCTACGGTAAGGAAGAGTGTAGAATGAGCATGGCAGCTAGAGGAGCTTTCAAGCATCTGCCACTGCATCAGCTGGCTCTGAGACTCTGGAGACACAGGCCCCCTCCGCATCGCAGCTGGAAAGCTCCAAATCTGACTGCGTGGAAACACTCTTAAACTATCTTTGAAGACTACCATTATGTTCTTGCTACACATGCAGCTGGATCTTGAGTTACTCTCAACACAAAGGACACACAGCCCTTGTGTGTGACAGGCTATGCCAGCAAATCAGGCAGGCGGTGACATCAGGATCTCCATGTGGTTTGGAGCCATGACCTCTGCAGGTAAAAGCTGCAAGTACAAAGACAATCGCCCCCATCTCTCACCTGTGCTTGGCTGCCCCAGCTCTAGCGCTTGGCTGAGCTGAGACTGGATGTGTCTCTGAGGGTGAGACCCAGGCTTGTAGGAGCGGCTTCCTCTTGCCAAAATTTTCTATTTTACCAGCGGAGCCGTCTGGTGATTTTTTTTGAGACTCTTCTATATGGTGTGATGTGGTGTGGTGACTGTCAGAATGGGGAGAACTGGGGAAAGAGTGGGCGGCAGGAAAGGTCTCAGAGAAGGAGGGGCTAGGCACAGGAGAGCCCAGGGGTGTGCAGAAAGGCGGACCTGGTCTCCCACTTCCCTTCAAATTTTCTTCCTCGCCAGCACCAGAACCTGGCAGCTGCTTATCCACACCAGAGCTCTTGCCAAGATGTGGTTTAAGAATTCCTAACACTGCCGTCTGCTCGGAAGGAGCTGCTTTGGGAGTTTTCGGCCTGAAGTCATCCAGATCCTCCTCAGATACTGACCCCCCTGCCCTGCCACTTTTCCTGTCTGCCTTCTCAGGGCAGGGTGGTGACAAGCACAAGGACGAAGTGCCTGCTTCTGGATGAACTGGCTTTTCGGCCTTCCTGACATCGCCAGCCTCATCTAGTCTTTCATCATCAGATGCCACTTCAGGAATGGAAGGGAGGGACAGGTTCAGATCAGCCACAATGGGAGATTTCACATCCGAGGAAGATGGAAGGCCAGTGAGGGGGTCAGACAGCAGGCCTTCATGATCACTGGCTTTGCTCTGAGACCGAGCCATAATGGCATCGTCCTCCTCCATCCTGAAGAGTTGGGTGCCTCTTGCTGGGCTGGGGCCTTCTGCAAAACTCTCTTCAAGGGAGCGGATGGTGGGCTGAGCGTCTGTGGTTACAAGTTCCTTCTCTGTGCCCTCTGTGTGGGGAGATGCAGGAAACGTTGCACTGGACACGGCTCCAGCAGCAGCAGCCCCCTCCTGCATCAGGTGCTGGCTGTCCTCCGCCCCAGGCCCAGGGGATTTCCCTGCCTCTCCCTCCACAAAGAGCTGTTTGGAAAAGGACACACGCTTCTTGGCTTTCTTTTGGCCCCCGCTGGCATTCAGATCCATCTCTTCATGCTTCTGCACTATGCTGTCAAATGGGGGTACCGCCCCTTCCTCTTCAAGGGGGGGTGTTGCTTCTTTGACTGCAGAAGTCATTCCGCCATTGCTAACATTGTTCTCCATAAAAGATCTAGGCTGAACCTCAGAGTTCATATTTCCTCCAGTGGGAGGCTTTTCAGCAAGGCTTGTGATCCCGCTGCCCTTGAGCAGAAGTGCAGAGGCTACTCCCTCCCCCTCTTCAGGTGAGGGCACCCAGTGCTGTTCTGGGGAGGGAACCCACAGTTCTTCCTGCTGCCCCATGAGATACCTTCCTGACTCGTCACTGCTGGCTTCATTCCCTGAGTCTGTCTCCCTGGGCTCACCCCCTGATGACTCTTCCGTCCCTTTCTGCAGTGGGATGGGTAGTTGTTTGCAAAATGATCCCAAGGCAGAGCCAGTGTTTGGAGCTGGTGTTAAACTCTCCTTTTGAGAGACTGCTTTAAGAAGTGAAGAGCACTCTTCAGAACAGGCCTCATCCCTGCCTGTGGGGGGCCAGTGTTCAACGGGAGTGGATGTAGAAATAGGGGCTGCTGTGGGAGATGGGAAAGAGAAGACAGAAAGACTTTCAGAGGACTGTGCCTCTGAATTACATCTCAAGTCAGAAATGACAGGTGCCTGAGCAGAGCCAGAAAGAAGGGCAGCAAACAGAAGGGCAGAGTCGGGGGAAGGAAGCCTGGCCTTGGGTTGAGCCTCTGGAGACACTTGCAGTCTGCAAAAACGACAAAATAAAATCTGCAGGTCAGTTGCAGATGCATTTTGAGAAATAAAGAAACATAAAAATGAAGTCATCAAAGAGGGAAGGTGTTTTAACATTTGGGGCAGCATCTACAGAGCTAAGGTGACAGCAGTCTCTGACATAAAATGGCTCTTTTTCTTTCCATGGTGCTAGGGATCAAACCCAGGGCCTCACACATGCTAAGTACAGACTCTACAACTGAGATACACGCTCTCCCTAGAAAGGAACCCTGCTAGCCCCAAGCATACCTGTCACACAAATGTTGTGAGAGGAATGGAAAGATCCGGCTCAAACCACATCCTACAATTCCTTTTAGTGGTAAATGCTGAGCCTAGTAATTGACTTAGGCAAGGCAAAAGGCATCTAAAAACTTCAGAACAATAAAAGGCTAGCACAAGAGACAAGTGTGTCTGTATGTAGACTCTTCAAAAAGTCTGTCACCCCCCATACCATAAAAATGTCAGTGTGAATGACAGTCACATGGAAAAGCAAGCTCTTGAGACCAAGTGCAGAGGAAACAGAATGGTCAGTGTGCTGGATAGCTTTAGTGTCAACTTGACACACCTGGGTTGAGGGAGCCTCAGTTGGGGAATTGCCTCCATTGGATTGGCCTGTGGCCATGTCTGAGGGGCATCTTCTTGATGAGTGATGTGGAGGGCCCAGCCCACTGTGGGTGGTGCCACCCCTGGGCAAGTGGGCCTGTGTTGCATAAGAAAGAAGGCTGAGCAGGGGCCAGGGAACAAGCCAGTAAGCAGCGTTCCTCCATGGCCTGTGCTCCAGCTCCTGCCTCCAGGTTCCTGCCCTGAGTTCCTACCTTGGGCTCCCAGATGAACTGTGACCCGGAAGATGTAAGACAAATAAACCCTTTCCTCCCCAAGTTGGTAGTGGTCAGACTGTTTTGTCACAGCAATGAAGAAACAAACTAGGACAGTCAGTCACAGGCACACTAAAGGGCAGATCTAGGGTCTCCCATGACAAAAAACAGATGCAAAGTACCAGGAGGAAAGGCAGCACCTTCTGCGGAGAGAGGTATGCACCAGAAACTTATTAAACACAGGTTCTGCCCACGTGCTCAGAGCAACCATGCATGCCCTGCTCACATGCTCAGAATCTGCCACAACAGGCCAGGCCAGCAGCAAGGACTTAAGACTACCAAAACTTTGCGCACATGGGTGCCATCCTAGGACAGACCAGGTTTGCTCTAGTGGAGACCTAGCTAAACACCAGACAGCACCCGGGAAAGGCCTCATGTGGGAAAAATCAAGACTCACCGAGGCTTCACAGCTTTGGTCTGGAGAGTCCTTGCAGCAGGAACTGGGGGCTTGAGTTCAGGCTTAGATGCCAGTCCAGCTTCTGGTCCTGACATGCACACATCTTCAAAGCGGTCCGGGGAGCTGCCTTGCCTGGACGCAACAGATGCAGTGTCTTTCTCAGACCTTCCTGCGAGGTCTTCCTTTCTCAGCTGGGCTTCTGCAAGCGAGCCTGCCTTCTCCTTCTCCAGAACAGTGGGAAGACTTTCGCCTTCACTGTCCTTGGCAGCATCTTTCTTTCCCGTCACCAGAGAAAGCAAAGAAGACTTCTTGCTCTCCTGCTTCTTGCTGTCTTTTGTTTCTTTTGTAGCCTCTCGGTTTTCTGGAGCCATGTTTTCTCTGATGTCCCCACCAGCCAGAGGTCGGTAGGATGGCAAAGACATGGACTTGGTGGAAGGGTCAGACTTCCACCTGTCAGGAGACGCGCCGCCTTCCCCGGGCTCCTTTGGAGGCCGAGCAGCCAGGTCTTCAGTGGAGGAGAACAAATGCTTCTTTCGGAAGCCCTGCGGGGACGGGGAATCAGAAGGGCTGCTGTCTTTGGTCTCACGCCTGGCCTCTGACTGCTCCACGTAAACATGGTTCCCATTGATACAGACGTTAGAGCGGGAAAGGGAGTCACTCTTGGCCCGAAGGCCCCCAAGGAAGGAGAGTCCTTCTTTCTTGGGAAGGCTGAAGTTGATCTGGTTCAGTTGCTTATGGTCTGCACTTGCTGTTCTCTTGTGGGTCATGACTAGGAAGAAAAACAAACAGAAAGCAGGTAAGAAATTAAAGAAATATGGGCAAGATGGCTCAGCAGGTAAAGGTGTTTGCTGCCAAGCCTGATGACCAGGTTCAATCCATGGGCCCCACATGGTGGAAGGAGAGAACAAACTCCCCCAAGTTGTCCTCTGACACACACACACACACACACACACACACACACACACACACACACACGCACGCACGCACGCACGCACTAAGTAAATAAATAAATGTCATTAAAAGAAGAAATTAAATGAGGCTGGGGATATAGCTCAGTGGTAAAACATTTATCGAGCATTCACAAGGCTCAGTGAAAGAGCACTTGCCTGACATGTATGAGGCCCTCAGTTTGATCCTTAGCAGTGCAAGAAAAAGAAAAAGAGAGGAAGGTGGGGGCGGGGGGGGGTGTAACACAACAATACAATGGGCAAGGGCATCTGTCACATTTTTGATGATCAGAACTGAAAGGAGGGTGTGACTGACATTAATAGGCCCAGCACTGCTGCCTCGAAAGCCTACAGTACACAGAACAGTCCCCCACAATAAAGAACTTGTTGGCCACATGGCCAACGGTGCTAAGGCTGAGAAATCCCGTGTTAAACCAATGAAAAGGACAATGCTCATGACAAAGTAACAGAATCTGGTCACTCATTAAATGGGGTTTAGTTATTGAAACTCAAGTTCAAAATATACAATTCAAAGTTATTGGAACTGGATTCTTTGACTTCCACTGAGGATGTATTCTATGAGAATTAAGCTCATTTTAGAAGCTCAGCAGATACCTGAATTCATGAAATATCAAACTTACTTGCCTGGCATGCTAAAGGCCAGATTCCCAGCACTGCAAGAAAACAAAATACTAGCAAAACAAACAAAAAATCGAATACACGTATTCTGTGAGCTCCAAACTCTTGTACTAATTCATTATCAGCTGCATAGCTAGACATTTCGGAAAAGGCATCTATACGTTCTTAGAAACCAGAGCCTTAGAACTAGAGAAGCCATCTTAACCAAGATTACTTATCATCACCACCATCACCATCATCACCATAACAACTAAAATCTTCCTCTGAAGATGGCCTCTCCCTTCTTAGGAATGGGTTGAGTAAGCAGAGGCAGGAACTCACCATCTGAGGCGGAGGAGGACTCATCCTCATTGTCGTCATCGTCCCACCGGGACAGGAAGTCCCCAGGACGAAGCAGCACTTTGTCTGGCTTTGAAGTAGGTAGGACTGACATGGACTGAGAAAGTGGTGTTTTCTGCAAATTTGACTTGGAAAACAAAGTTTTGATCTTTGATTTCTTTTTCTTGTCTTTTGAGAAGGACTCATCGTCACTGTCGACCGAAGGTGTGGTGCTGGGGACGACAGCTGACGTGGCGTCTGATGCGCTGTCCTTGTTCTTCCCTTTGATCTTGTCCTTCAGTTTTCCAAATGGATTCCGAGACTTGTCTTTCATGGAGAGGTCAAACATGCTGGCAGTCATGTTGTTTCTCATAAACTGGATGTCCACCTCGATTTCTCCTCGTTCTTTGTCCTTCTTTCCTGGTTTGGACTTCAAGGCGTACCATCTAAAGAGAGAAATGTCAAGAGGTTACCTTCAGGTGGAAACAGCCACAACAGAGTCTCCATCCTGTTGGTGACCTCTCCTGCTCCAACCTCTTCTACAGATGTGTTTTTACGCTGTCTCAATGAGGGGTAGCCAGTGGGGAGCAGAAATTACACTTTTATTTATTCATTTATTTTTGTGGTCCTGGGGGTTGAACTGCGTAAGGCCTTAGGCATAACAGGCAAGCATTCTACCATTAAGCTATATCCCCCGTCGTGTACTTCTGTTTTTTAAAAATTTTATTTATTATTTTTATTTTATGTATCTGAGTATATTGCCCACATGCATGTAAATGCAACTGTGTTGTGCAATGCCTGCAGAAGTCAGAAGAGAGCATTGGACCCTCTGGAACTGGAGTTATAGAGGGTTGTTAGCTGCCAGGTGGGTTCTGGGAGCTAAACCTGGGTTCTTTTTAAGAGCAGCCAGTGGTCTTAACTGCTGAGCCTTCTCTCCAGCCCCCAGTACTTCTATTTTTGAAAATTTCCCCACATATGCTAGACAAAGGTCTGATAAAGTACTTAGTATATAATCATCTCTCTTTTTTTTTCTAGTACTAAAGATTGAACCCAGGGCCTTGAGCATACTACACAGTACTCTACCGCTAAGCTATATACTCAACCTTTATAAATCAGCTAAAATACTGATTCTCTGAAAATAAAGAGCTTGGTATGGTGATGCAGGCCTGTTGTCTCAAGAGCTACTGGGGGAGGAGGATTCCAGGAATTTAAGACCAGCTTAAGAAACAAGACCCTACCTCAAAATAAACAGGAAAAAATCCTATCAAATTAGTTCCAATGACATATTTTCCTTCAATAAGATAAAAGTACAAAGACCACACACAAACAGCTAAGAAGGTGTTGTGCAAATTTATACACATGGATCAGAGAGAAATCAAAAGCTTACGCCTGACAGGTTGAAATGGAACGTACAGATTCAGTTTCAGGAAGAAAAAGAGGAATTTTGAAAAAGCCACCAAAATGTTAATTCCTGCATGCATGATGCTACTTACATGAGGCACATAGAGCAGTCAGATTAATCAAGACAGAAAGCTGAACTGTGGCTGCAAGGACTGGGGGAGGGAGGGAGCAGGGAGCTGATGTCTGCATGGCATGAGGCTCTAGCTCAAGTTAGAGAAAATAAGAAGGTTCTAGAGACAGTTGGTAGTGATGCTTCACAACAATGTGAATGACACATGTACCAGCACAGAACTGTGCACTCAAGATGGTTAAAACAGTAAATTTTGGGGTGTAGATGTAGCTGAACAGTAGAGTACTTGCCTAGCATATACAATGTTTGCATTCAATCCCCACCACAGTTAAATTTTATATTTTGCCACAGTTTGAAATAAGGAGAAATTGGCAAAAAGGCATTCTCTTCTGATTTAATAATCAGAAAAAGAATACTGCAAACATCATTCAAGTATTTTGCATAGTCATTTGCAAACTACTTCAAGATGTGGCAAATGACACTGTTTCAGGCCTACTCTGACTGCAAACTCCAGGAAAAGGGGACCTCCTTGGCATACATTTTCTGTTTGGAAACTCAATCCCTTTGGTGAACTGGGAGTCCAATTAGCTGCAGGGCCACTAAGGGACAAACAACTCCTGGCCTGCAGAGAGCCACCACCGGGTCATCTTGCAAAATGGAGACCTCACATTCTGACCGTCTGTTGTGTTGTTTTTACAGTGACCTACTTAGGAGCCCAGGGCCTGGAGTTTAAGGAAATGATGGTTTTGTCCAAATGAGCACAACTTCCTGTCTCACCTTCAGTGCAGCTTAGTGAAATGTCATCCTGGGCCTGTTACTCGGTCATACATAAGGAAGGGCAGAACGAAGTAGAAACCTAACACTTGGTGATACCTGCACCATACCTGACATTGTGTACGCTTAAGCCCCACCATGGAGTGGACATTATACTCACTTTACAACTGAGGAAGTTAAAGCTCAGGAAAGAGCTCAGTGGTACAAGATCCCAGTGCTGTTATGGAGTATGGTGAGGATGACTCGTTCCCAAAGCTCTCCTCTTTCTCCTGAACCAGGATGCTTATTTAAGCTAACTCTCCCTAATTCATCTTTAAATTCTTTTTGAGGAAAGTTTAAGCTGCTACTGCTGCTTCTTTCTCTCTCTGTGATTTCCTGGGGATGAAATCAGAGCCTTATGCATGGTAGGCAAGTGCTCTACTGTGAATTATGCACGCCAGTCCACATACTTCCAATTTAAACATCTCAAAATAAAATTAGAAAGGGGGGAAACTCCACCACAACTTGCCATCAATCATAAATTTAAAGATTACTACCTAAAGTCCTCCACACAAATCACCAGAAAGAGCCTGAGTCCCAATAAAATGATGTAAGATACAGTCTGGATTATTATTTTTTTAAAAAATTTATTATTTTATGTGCATGTATGTATTGCCTGTGTGTAGGTAAGTGCACCTGTGTCATGCCATGCCCGCGGAGGACAGAAGAGGCTGTCAGATCCCCTGGAATGGGAGTTATGGACAGTTGTTAGTTGCCATGTGGGTGTTGGGATTCGAACCTGGGTCTTCTGCGAGAACAACCAGTGTTCTTAACTGCTGAGCCATCTCTCCAGCCCACAGTCTGGATTATTACAAGAACTCTTTCATGGTTTTTAAACCACAGAGGAAGAGGGTGTTTAGGAAGATGCAAAGTCTTTTTGCACAATTTCTCCCAGCCAGCCCAGTGCCTGTTCAGTACATTTTCTGGTACTTGGCCTAGAATACTTTGCATATTTATCATTGAACTTTTGAGAGGATTATTTGATTCTTCCTTGACAGTCATGTGGTAAACTGTAGCCATGGTGATGAAAGGTGTTTGGCTTTTGTAAATATTACTTGTAGGCACCTGAAAAGGAGAAGTGGCCGAAAGGGGAATGCGAGGCCCAGATGACCAGGGCAAGGGCTTCAGGGAGCAGGCAACACCTCTCGCCCAGGAAGGAGGGACTGGGGGTGGTCTTCTATCAGCGTTTCTGTCAGCCCTCTCCAGAGCAGCAGAAACCTTAAAGACCTTCAGAGAATGCCACCTGACCATTCCTTGGACCAGGCCTGCCTTCTAAAAGTTATCTGGGCCAAAATGTTTATTTTGAGCAAACCCACAGCCAACCCTAGAATGCTCCCTGGGGGCTGATTCTTCCTGATGCTCAAACACTGGAGTGGGACTTGCTTGGAAAGTTCTAGCACCACTATGATGTGTGAGTAGAAACTACACAACTGTTCTTGCTGCTTATTTTCATAAGCAAGCCGAAAACCAAGCACCAGGTAGCCAAGAACACGGCAGGGCTTGTAGAAAGCAGAATCATAGGCTATGAAGCACCCCAGTAGTTATCAGGGCTGGACTAACTAAAGCTAGGAAATGCGTTGCTTCTTTGACTACCAACACTGAAATCATTTGCAGGGCAAGCCAGAGCTATTTGACATAAGCATAACAGGCTAAGGCACATACAGAATGGCCTGGCAGGAGAAAAGATATTAAAAGAGACACTGGTGTCCCTCCCTTGAGCTATCAGATTATTGAGACAAGGGATCCCAAATAATTAAAATTTCCTGTGTAATCTCAAGCTGGGAAAAGAAAAGCTAGCCTGGTCAGCCTCCCAGGAGGAGATTCTACACAGTTCTAGGAACTTATCAAAGGACCACCTTCTTGCAGGATAGACTGGAGTCAGGTAATGATGGTAAATTGTAGGCTTGGTGATGAAAGGTGTTTGACCAGGACTGCTTAGTTATATATACCTTCTGCCTTTATTTAAACCTAAACCTCATGTCAGTGCCATGAAGACAGATTTGGGGGTTCCCAGACCTCTTCCCGACACGGTCGCATTGAACAAACCCCCTCTCCTCTTCTCACTGTCACTTGTCTCTTTAATGACACACTGGAGAGAGGTGGTCAAGTCCAGCTTGTTGGAACTGCCAGAGGCCAGGTTTTGACCCTGAACACTCTATTAACAACAACTCATGAGTGTCTTATCCTATGAAACCACAAATCAGAATATGGTTGTGGGTTTCAACATGATGATCAATTCAATTTTTCAGTGTTTCTGTGTTCACTCAACTCCTGCCCCTCAGAGAAGCAGTTCATGAACAATCTGGTCCCCGCATGGCCCACAGAGCCTGAGAGAGCCGAGGAAGGTTGCAGTGTGGGTGTGTCCAGCATTACCTTTCACATAGGCCCAGAATGTTTGCAGTATCTTGGTATCAGGGCTGGGCTTGTGTTTCTGTCCAAAGGGCAGAGTACAGAGAGAAATCTATAATTCCATGGGAGCAAGTTTATTTTTAAACCCATAATATGAAAAAAACTTTCAGCCTATCAACAAAAAATTAAAACGATTCCTTCTATAAGCATAGAAATATTTTGTACTTGTAATTAAAACCTAGTCCTTAGAAAATTAAAAAGATCTCCTGACTACGCAGAAAGTGATGGAAAGTCACAGAAACTTTTTGGGGAGGATGGGGCTGGAGATCAAACCCAGTGGGTGTATGGTGTTAGGGATGAACCCTAAGGTCTTGTACACTGAGTAAGACCTCTATCACTAAGCTACAGGCCCAGCCCTTCTAGATCATATTTTTAAGTAATAACAGGTATGGGGTACAAATTCCAATCACATAAAATGGCACAGAATGAGTTCAGCCCCTGCTCCTATCCCCTCCTAGAAATAACTATGAGCTTTGTACTCTTCCAGTCTGAGTATGTATAAGCAAAAAAAAATATGCATTACTTTAAACCTACCTTTTATTGTTTTTGTTTATGTAGCTGTTTTTGTGCAGGGGGGTGGTGGTTTCAAGATAGAGCAACAACTAAAAATGAACAAAACATTATGTTTCATACATATTTAAAATGGTTATCTTAAGGAGATAAATAATTACATTTGTAAACCCAGCACTTGGGCAGTGGAGGCAGGAGGATCATGAATTTGAGACGGGGTATATGGTGAGACAGACCCTGTCC